CCCGATCGCGGCGATGCGAAGTTCCGTCCTCGCCGTTATGAACTGCGACGGAGAAGCCGACCAAGAAGTTATTCGCGACAGCACTGTGATGGGATTTCTCTACGTCACAGACACCGATGAGGTACGAGGGCGAATTAGTCTTTTGAGCCCTGTTGCAGGGCGCGTACCGAACCGGGCGATTGTGTGGGCGGGTTGGCCAGAAAGTGTCATCGGGTTGGAAAGGACCTGAACCAGAACAGTGGCCTCAGCCATGCGTGGACAGTGTCGCACATTGGGAGGATTGAGCCGCTGCATCGAGCGTATACCAAAAGTCAGAGGGAAATTAGAGGAGAGAATCCAGGATAGACAATCAAAAATCTCGCGAGACAGAGGCAACCTCAATTTTGATCTAGGATATGTCGCCTGTTTTCCTGTACAGTAGTACCCTTATAGACATTCGGTTATCGGCCGTCCAACTATTTCCCTGACAATCGAGACAATATATCGGTAGAGGAGAATCGCCTGAGCCCTCCTCGCCTTAGTCTCCCTAGACCAGATCCCGCAGAATTCGCAGCAGACTCTGGATGCCCGCAAGGACATTCTGGTCCGGACCGTCGCCGGGCGTCCACCTCGCATGGGCAAAGTCGATGAGGCGCACTTCGTGGACCTTGTGCGCCCGGACATCTTCTTCTTCATCGTCGTCTTCATCTTCATCTTCCTCGTTGTCCTCGTTGTCTCCATCCCCTGCGTCTCTGGCATCCTCCTCTTCCTCTTTCGCAATGCTGGCCTCCAGCGTCTGCGGATCTCCTTCGTACACCATCAACACGCTCGCGCTGTACATTCGACTCTCCTCGTTTTCCAGCACGTACTGTATACTCTCCAGTTCCCTGATGAACCGGCGGATGAGAAACTCGGCGCGCTGGCTCTTGAATCGGGAGTTCTTTCCGGTGGTCGAGTCGTCCTGGCGGCTGCCGCTGACGCCGCCAAAATACGTCTCGAAGGCATCAACGACGTTCTCTGCCTTGAAAGACTGCCCGTAGAACTTGTTGTAGGATTTGTACCCGTTCTTGACCTCGACGTACTCTTTCTCCGCGGGGGTCACCTCGACCCCGGAGTCAGCCCACACTTTCATCCCAGCGAGACGAAAGCCTAGACTCCCGCTCGTTGTCTTCGCCGCCACGTCGTCTAGTTTCCTTCTCTTGGCCAGCGGCGCGTCGTCATCCCACAGTCTGGCACCGAGCTTAACGTCCAGCACGTTGGGGTGCTTGAAACCGGAGACGACATTCTCCAGAACGATCGCCAGGCCCGTAGAGAGTTTCTGGCCGCCGGAAGGTTTCCAGGAAGTGCGCCTGTTGAGCCCCAGTACGGGGTTAGGGGCGGTCGTCCCCTGAGCCGCAGCTGGAGCTCCAGCTCCCTGCGAAGGAGCAGCAACGCCGTCTTGAGAGGTCTGCAACAACGGCGCTACAGCTTCTTGGTCGTCATTCTCGGAGAGCGACCCCAGGAAAGTAGGCATGTGGGCTTGGAACAAAGGGTGGTCTCTGGCGGACTCGTAGAAGTCGATCTCAGCCTGCGTGCAGGGCTTGATAATGAGCGAACCCGAGGCATTGGAGCTGATGCCATCACTGTGTACGGAAGAACGTTAGTGTCACACAGAACGATAAACAGCCACATCGCGGAGGTATCCTTACTGGCCAGCAGCGGTGTGGTCGAATCGTACCAGCTCGGACTCTGAGAACTTCGCCGCGACCTTTTTGTTTGGGTGTGTTGAGCTAGAGCTCTCCATGTTGACAGCCCCGCGAAGACGATAACCTTTAAGAAGCTCGTAGAGAAGGGGAGAGACAGACGCTTTACGAGAATGTGAAGACAACCATAGGAGCCCCAAGTGCTGCCACTTCCTCACACTGGTACATGCGGTGATTCAATCGACTGGCGTGGTCACCGACAATCCTTCGAATGATTGCCGCCATCGATCGAGCTGGCCGCCAGGGTGCGGAAACGATTGGCGGAAGGGTCAAGACGCCGCTCCAGACTCGGCGCCCTTAGTCGCAGCCCACGGGTGTTGGGGGAATCTCAGCCTTGCTTGGGAGGTCGAAGGCAAAGAAGTACGAGGTACAGCCTTGATGATTGCATGCGATCGAAAGGTGCATCATGTGGCCTCTCACACACACTGCTGCAATGCGGCCTTTTGCAGATGCGGTTGTTTGCTCACCTGCCTTTCACTTCTGGCGAGACGATCAATAGTGCTTCAGCTTACAAACTTGTGCCCAGCTCTCCATTCAAGGTCGAAGTGAATGGTCAAAGCCTGCCACTGGAACCTCGTTCATCTGCGGCTCTTATTGCTCTGATCCTCGAAACCATTCTTCTCATCTCTTTACCTCTTTACCTAGTTGACGTCCAAAGTCCCGCTGGGAAAATAATGGCCCGCACTCAAGAATCACCCGAGGAAACTAACTACTCAAACTCAACACAAGATTCCAATGTGGACGTCAACGACGCCGATCTCAGACCAAATGATGCTATGAACGACGCTGAGACCATAAAACTTCCGCTGAGGCCCCGAGCCGACACGGCTGCCTCTAATGAGATTCAACGTCCTGCCCAGCCTACCCTGCCCCAACCTGAGGCCGGCGGGTACAGCGGAGATGGCAATGTCCAAGAAGATGATGAAGAGAATCAAGACTACGGCGAAGTCACCAACGAACCTCCAGCAGAGTTGAAGAAGAAGAGCAAGAAGAAGAGACGCAAGCCAGCAAGTAAACGCGGGTTGGTATGTCTTTCGATCTTACCCCCCCTTCCCAAAGTAAGAGGTATGGGGACTGTTGTGTTGATACCAATCTCAAGGGCAAACCGACCGGTTTCGAAGACTACTTTGCAGACCCTCCCCTGACACCAGAGCAGTATGCTGAGGAGCAAGAAATATATCATCCGTAAGTTTCAAACTGCATGTCTCGGGGGCCAAAAGCGACCACCACGTATGCTAATCCCGCCGGCACAGTCGTCTTTCCTTCTTGGACAGAATCACCACAGCCATAGCGCGCTTCGAGATGACTCGGAAACTCACCCCACAGCGCAGAGACGTCCTGTACAAGTACCTCATCTATGGCAGTCTGACGATAAGCCCGAATGTCGGCCAGGGCGGCCAGGACACCGAGGGCATGGACAAAACCCAGATCGCCCACGCCACGACACAAGTTCGGATCAGCGACGACCTGCGGGACCTGGGCACCGAGACGAGTCTTTACGAGGTCGACTTCCTCGGCTGCCTCAGAGGCTTCTTGAGCCGCCGCGCGAAGAACATCTTTGGCCTCGACACACGGGACGAGGTCAAAATGGTCTGTACCACTTTGGAGAGATTCCTCGACTACCTTCTGCAGCGCGACGTCTGTCCAGAATACAAGGAGGACGTACTCGCCGCCCGTGCGCTGTGCCGCAGAGCCGAGCCCGAGCTCTGGGACATGGCCGAAGCGACGCGCCGTCTGCCGGGAGAATTCAACGTGGCATGCTCGACCCTCTTCGGTGGCAGCTACGCACGCGACTACGACGGGGAGACGTGGTGGGGGAACCCAGACACCGAAGAAGCCGTCTTCGTAGGGTTGAAGCCCGACGAAGCCCAGCAGATTGTGAGGTTCGGAGTAGCCGGCGCCGCCGACGAGGAAGTCTACACTGCATTCCTCGCGGGCGTGCAGGACAATGTCCCGACGATGATGGACATCGTCCACACGCAGGAACACACGGGCTTCGCGGTCACCCGCATCGAGCCTCCCACCAGCGAATGCAAAGCCATCTACACGACGCACTCTAAGCTCTTCCGCCCTGTCGGCCGCGTATACGCCAAACCATGGAAGAACCCAGACGCGCTCCCCGAAGACCTCACCCCGTCCGAGCGAGCGGGCTCGTCCACGACCACGACCACGGGGTCAGAACCCGAGTCACAGGACGCGCAGCCCACCGAATACGTCTTCTTCATCGAGTCGATCCTCCAGTCCTACATCCGCGTGGGCACCAAAATCGAAGCCACCGTCCGAATCCTAGGCTGTGGGATCATGTTCTTCGACGACGTGCTCAACGTGTACCCGACCTTCGACGAGTTTCTGGTCAACGAGATGATGGTGGGGTGGAAGTCGCCCAAGCCGCTCAAGGGCGCGCTAGATTATATCTCTGAGGACGATGATAGTGGTGGTGACGGAGGAGATGATGTTGGTGGTGGTAATGAAGATAGGAATGTGGAAACTGGACGACAGAGTGTATGAGTCGTGCGTGGCTGCCGGCAAAGCGGTCGGTGCATATCAAGTGATGTCCACCAAGAGCAACATGACGATTGATGAAAGCATTACCAGGGTATGGCACATCCTTGCAGACGAAGACGCCCTAGACTCAGTGTGAACGTGATAAGACACTCGGTCAGTGTCGAACCGAACCATGAATGAATGACCCTCGTCGCGAATCCTCTCCACTTCTTGATACAGGTCAAACTCGAGAACTGTGCTTGTAACCAACCCCATTCCTTGATCATTCTTCTCATCCCATTCGACATGTCTGAGCACTGAGCATGAAAAATCCCATATCCCATATCGCATATACACAGCAAGAAGACATTCACAGTAGTGGAAAGGTATATTTTATGTATATGTATAATATCTCTTACCACCATGGCATACAAGTATAAAACACATTGCACGCAAAGCACCAACCGACTATTGGAGCTGCTGCTCACCGCCATGCCCGGATATTTCTCCTTCCTCGTCGAGCCCGAGTCAGCCGTCGATCCATAAATCCATTGTTCATGACGGAAAAGAAAGAAAAAACACTTGGGGCGGCGCCAGATTCCAGGATTTTCTTTTCAAAGCATGTCGCCGAGTCCCGTTTCTCCATTCCCAAGATGAGGAGCCGCATCCCAAATGTCCAATTCCTGCATAAGACGAAACTTTTCTTGACCGGCTTTCCAGTGCCTTAATATTTTGCATCTCTCCGTCTTGCCGCGGAGCTTCGTGGCCAGTCTGTCAAGTCAATCAGCCCAAATTCTAACTCAACCGGTTCAACACCTTCTTGCCCAGCATCAACACACTCTTTCTTTTATTGGTCTCGGCGTCACTGTCTGTGCCCAACGGGGCGATACCTCCATTGGCGCCCCCGACGACACTTCCTGGAGATCCTTCATCGTTTCCACTGTTATCTCTTTCCCTCTCCTTTGTGCTAGGTGTATGGCTGCCGTGGCTGTCACTTCTCTCCCGGTGCGAATGGCTCTCACTCTTGATCAGTGAAAGTCCACTAAAGTGCACTCTCCCCTTGACGGTGTCTCCAGAGAAATGCCTCCCAATTGTGTCCTTCAGTAGACTTCTGCCTGGAGCCTGTGGAGACGAAGGCGAATTGTTGGAGCTGTTGAGATTCGGGTTGGAGCTTGTTGCAGAGCTCGGATGTGCAGATCGTGGTCGTGAGAAAAATGATGTGGTATTACTGGCGGTTCCATTTCCACTAATACCTGCGCCGGCAGAGCCAGGAATTGAACGTGGCGCAGCTGAGGCGAGGGTCCCAGCACCAGTGGCCGCGATAGCCGGTAGGTTGATACTCGAGGACCACGAGCCACTTCGAAGGAGGGGGCTGGGCCCGTGGAAAGCGCCTCCTTTGGGATGCCCATTTGTTCCGGGTGGTGACTGGAATGATATACCTGAGGACTCGAAGTCATCGTCCCTCCCGTCCTGCGAAAAACTATACAAGCTTGTCGTATCTGACGTCCCTGAAAGTTGTAGGGTGACGTCCGAGCTGGGAATGGTGCTCGAATGCGCGATTTCCTTGAGTCGTTCGACCTGCTTTTTATTGGGTCTGTGATGTGAGAACTTGTTTCCAATAATCGCTCCGGTGTGGCTGATCAATGCCCTGATCACGTCCTTCTTCAACCTGAGCGCCAGGTCCAAGTTCGACCACGTCTTGTTGCGATATTCAAGCGTTGGCATACGGAACACAAAGTCGTGGAGATCCTCAAAGTTACGATCAGATTTGCCTTTGTACGAGAGGCAGACGACGAAGCTGTTGAGTTTGACATGAGCTAGCGTCATGTAATTGGAAGCACGAGACATCATTTGGGAGAGGTCGTCGTTGGCCGTGGCGGTCTTGTCCTTTTTGTCTTTCTTTCCTGTGGCACCGCGGTCCTTGCTGCCTGTCCGGTGTATAGGGAAGCGTTTTTTCTCTGTTCCTCCCTCGCTGGCGCCAAGGGCGACGAGACTTGTGGATGACATATCATGTTTCTTTGCTGATCTTAGACTAGTCGAGGATCCTTTGCGTGTGGGTTCCTTGAACACGGACCGAGTCTCAGACTTGTTGAAATGCTTGAAGAATTTGTGGTGATCCGCCGTGAGACCGAGCCCTCTGTTTTTGCCATGCAAGGAAGAGGTCGAATCCTTGTGCTTCTCGTCATAATCAAGACCATAGGTGGGCTTCAGCCTTCGTGCCACAGCACCAGGTGAAGTATTGCGAGTCTTGTCTGGACTGGGGCTTTGAAGATCTTGCTCCGACATCAACGCACTGTGCGCTTCCACGAATTCTTGATCGTCTCCGTCGTCCGTGGGTTCCATGTTCTTAACCATGAGCGGAGAAAAGTTGCCATTCTCAAAAGCATTCGATCCCACGCCAGGGAAAATGTACTCAAAGAGCTTCTTGCCAAGTTCACGTTCAAGCTGCACTTTGAGTGGGAACACGGTGACCTCAAAGTGTTCCAAGACGGGAATGCCGGCAATGGCTTCGAGCATGTACCAGTGTACCTGGACCATTTTCTGAACCCCTGCCATGCTAGGTCGTCTGTCTCTGTCTGATGCTTCGTAATACGGTCCGATGATTTCCGGGTACAGCGCGTTGGGCAGGAGATTCCAGCCTCTGATGTGTTCGACTTCCAAGGCATTGTGATTGGACCCGTCAGTGTTGTCGACTCGCTCATACGCAGCATTGCCTAGTTGAAACTCTAGGAGCGGTTCGTCTTTATCCCGCATGAGGTGCCACACAATTTCCGAGGCGCTGAGATACCATCGTAAGAGACCGCTCGATTGAGAAGCTTTCCGGTCCTCGCTCTTTTGTTGAGACGTGTTGATGGCTTTCATAATGAAGAACAATTCATCCTCGCAACTAGCAAGGTCCTTTTCAAGATTGATCCGATCTTGCCAACCTTGCTTGTCGAGATACTTGGCATGTATCTGGAAATGAAGTTTGATGTCTTCGAGCTGTCGGATGCGTTCTTGGAGGCTTTCGGCCATTTCGGGGGCTCCTCGCAGATCACTGAAGTCGGACGCGAGCATGATCTTCTCTAACCGTTCGCTTCTTGTCTTCTCCAGCGGTTCACTGTACAGCAACAGGTCTAGGACGATAATGTAAACTGCGTAGTATTGAGTGGAATCGCACCGAGCACGGACTCGAGGGAAGTCGACCCAGAGCTGGTCAATCCGGTGTTCTCTGCGTGCTGCAGCATTGGGCTCTCCGTTTTCGTTGCTCTCCACCTCCTCGTTGTATTTCAGTCGAAGGGGATTGTACTTTTCGTATCGGAGGCTTGCAGAAGTCTTCTGAATCACCCTTTGGAAACCGAAAGGTTCTAGATGGAAATCGAACATCGCCTCGAGGGAGACCCAGGGTGGCCACGACGACCCTGGAGTGTTGCCGTATCTGTTACCCGAGTAGAGATGGAGATATCTGGCCAATGTCTTTTGCGTCGCCACAAAGAATTGTGCTCCGTCCATATCAAGTGCGAAGCGACGCTGTACAAGGCCACTGACGTCGTCCGACATGCGAGACTTATCCATGATGGAGACAACTTTCAGTTGCATCCCCTTTGCAGATATGAGAACGATAGCTTTCGTGTTCTTCTCACTCTGAAGCTGTATCTGAGGAGCGATCAAACGTAGGTGATAGCTGTTCATCGCCTGGAAGTTTTCTGCAATCTTGTCACCAAGATCAGCAGTGGAAGGTCTCCGCTCGATATCGTCATTATCAGTCCCGGATGGTTTTGGGTCTTCATCTCCATCTCCTTCATGGACTTGGACGAACCGTTTCACATCATTCAGGAGCTGCTTGATCCTATCTTCTACGACAGAATCTTCGTCTTTCTCCTCGCTCGGGGAAATGATACTCGGCGTTGGCGGCACTGGCGGTTGGTTCTTCCTCTCTTGTCTACGGCGCACTTCCTTTGCCTTCGCTTGCTCATCAACAATATCGAGTATGAATTTAACGGCACGTCGTGACATGTAGTATACAAAACCTCGGCGTTGGCTGACCTGATGGCTATATCGGAGGATGATGTTTCTCAAGGAATTGTTCCATTTGAGCTGAACATTATGGATGATGAAGCGGTTGTTGAAGTCACTCGCGAACTCGTCGTGAGGGGCCGAGTACAATCCATCCATATCCATTTGAGGAGTTCCAGGTGTCTGTCCTTCCAGCTCAGGCGTAGATTTATTGACGTCTCCATTGGCGTGGGGGATATTGTCGACATGCTGAGCCTCGCCTGGGTTTGCATGGCCGACCAGACGTCGGAGACCATGTTGTAAGAATCGTCGTTTGCTTTCCAACTCCTTCTGTTGGGCGATGAGAAGCTCATGTTTGTCTCGGACTGCTCGATCCTGGTCTCCTTCTCTAACTACGAGAAGTTCGTGCTCGTTCATAATGCGCACGTGTGTTTGAAGTCTGTCTTCGAGATCATGCAGTCTAGTCTCAATCAGGTTCATCTGGACCTTTCTCGGGTCATTGTCACGACCCATGACGCAGAAGTGGGTGTCTTCATCGCCAAATGGACTCGTGCGGGACTCGTCTCCCTGTATGGCGCCCCCATGATCGGTCTGTCGAAAGTAGGTGAAACGCGGCGTGAAAGCCAATGGCAAAATCTTGGTTTCCGGATTCGACTCTGCGGGTAACACCCAGTCCAATTCCACAAAGTCATCCATATCTATCCACGACAGGTCTTGATCTGGGATGGTGAATTGAGATAAATCAATGTTCGCAGGCACTTCTTGTAGTGAAGACAGCGTTTCATCACTTGCGTTTTGAATGTCCTCTGCCGTCGTCCCTGCGATGAGTGCGGCGACAGCTCTCAAATCGGCGCGTACGAAGTCAAGTTCGGTTTTATAGATCTTCATGCCGCTGGTCCTCATCTGTTTTGCTCGCACTTTTGCCATGGTATTAAAATACTCACGGCGTTGATGCAGATCGAGCATGAAGCTGTCAATCTTGATTTTTAAGCCAGTTGCAGAGACGACATCGGCTTGATAATCTTCCGCATCCTTGTGTTTGTAGACGTGTGAGATGAAGAGCGGTGATAGCAGCAGGTTGTATTTGATCGTCGCAAGGTGCCGTCCGAACTTCTTGCTGGTCTTTCCTTGATCTCTCCAGAGGGTACCTTGTCGGACTGGTAGGGACATTACACCCGAGAAAGTCGACCACCAACTAAAGAAATGAGAAAAGAACTTCGGACTGAGATGGACACTGTTGTAGCTTTCTGAGGGCGCCGAGTCCGCACCCACCCAGTTTTTATCATAAGGTGCCGCAACAGCCAGGGAGAGGTGAACATGATGACTGCGGAAGCCACGGAAGGCATCATAGGAGTCCAAATCGACATCGTGGAGGAAGAGTGGGTTCCGCAACACTACATCGTAGTGATGTCTCGATTCTGATGTGCGGTTCCCGTCTGGCAGATCCCGTTCAAAGACGAGGCCCGCCGTCCATTGAACATTTCCCGACAATTTCATGATGACCTTTTTGAAGATGGCGCTATTCTTCGTAGAACTGCTTGTAGACACGCTGTCTGAATCGTTGCTTGCTCTCTGCTCCGGTGTATTGCGGGCTTCGTGGCTAAAGTCTGGGATGGCCAATATGAATTCACCACTTTTCACAGTCATGAGCTCCCGAGGGTCATCGACCTGGTGTATCAACCATTGTACATCGTTCCGCCAGCACATGACAAAGCCAGCACCATATCCAGTAACAATATACGGGTCTCTCGTGCCCTTGAGTCGGAGCTGCACGTCTCCGTCCCCTTTCCAATTCACAACAAGCCGCGAATGGAAGCTCAGCCGTATCTTGTCCCAGAAGCCGACCCTTTCGGAAGGGTCTATTTCCGGTTTGGTGAAGCTCTCGACGATCATCATCATATCTTGTATCACGGGTTGGTATGATGTACCCCAGGAAATGGTGGTTGGCAGGCTAGTGTTGATATCGATGACAGGCTTGGAATACGTCTTGACAGGTGCGACAGTCCTCCTGACATCAATAGCAAAGGCAGGAATCTCTTCTCCGTGTGTCCCATGCTGCCCCTTTGGTACGATTTCGACTTTAACATGCTTGATGGATTTCTCATCTCGAAATTCTTCCGCAATGACAAAGTCTGTTCGGAGAGACCAACTTGGCAAGCGAGCAGGTTGTCCCGGACGTATGGCAGGGATATGAAGAAGGTTCAGGGGATAATCTCGAAGGAAAACACGAGCTTCCCCCATATCAAGACTGAGGCTTGTGGGAATGAGCAAGCCATACTTCATGTCGTATGGCATGCCTTTGCCAATTTCATGGAGAAATTTGGGGAGGTCCGCCTCCGGGAAAGAAGGTTTGTCGATGATAAGATGGATGTCGCTGATGATCAAGGTCATTAGACCAGGGCGGTTGGGAATACCAAGAATCGTCTCGGTCTCATGGTCGTCGTGAGGAGGCTCGTCTGCGCCCATGAACAGCTGTCGCACACTTTTTACGGTGTTGTTCTGAAGACGAAGCATCCAGTCGATCCGTCTTTTCCAGCTCCGGGAATTGTGCTCCTGAAGTTTTTCCCATGCCTCCCTCGCATCTATCTTGGCATGACTGGTCAATGCGCAAACACCCTCGCGATCGTACCGGAATCGGTGTGATGCTCTGCCACGCCTTCCCCTGGAGGTAGATCGTTTCCGCGGAGTATTATCGACACTTCGGGAGCGTCGATGGTGATCATCGTCGCCAGCAGCATTGGGAGAGCCACGGCGACTCGAATGAGCTGATTGCGTTCGTAACCGGGATGACGATCGAGGCCGCCTCTCGTCAGTCATTCGCTTGACCTTCAGGCGGAAGGCATCTTCCCGAGCAAGGCGTTGCTTTTGCTCTATGCGCCCAACGTGATAGATCAGACCGAGCTTCCATTCGAACGGGTCGTCTTCCAACTCGAAACAAAGGGCTTTGGACCGAACCGAGATTCGAGGAACCTTAGCTGGAGGTACGGGGTGCTTCGCCAGCACATATTCGTTAGACCGTGTCTGGAACCGGTGTTGCAGCTGTTGGATGGCCTTCGAGGTGTTGATGAAGTTGTCAAAGACTCTGTACATTTGCAATCCATGCGGTACTCCCAAACGAATAAAGTCGGTCGAGATGTCAATGGTTTTTTCTTCGATCATGCCGTGCTGCGTCTTCTTCTTGCTGTGGCGTAAGTCGACCCTAACATTGCTAATGCTAACAATACGTGCCCATATCCGTTTGAGGTGCGGCGCTTCCGCATGTAAACGGACCAAGTCGGCTTTCATGAAAGGAGCAGACCATCTGTGTCTGCCGCCCGAGACTTGGTAGATCTGGAGCATCATTGGAGGGTCATGTGGCATATCGGCTTTGACTTGCACGTAGTGCGCCTTCACGTCGATGGCAAAAAGTTCAGCGTCCAAAGGTACTGGCAGATGCCCATGGACGGTGTGGTGATCTGCTGTTTTTGGATGATGTTCTGCATCTCGTTTGATCGGGACTGGTCCCACAAATGCCTCTTTCACGACAAAGCCTGCTACACCTATCGAGTAGAATCTGTAAAGCGAGAAGTCCAAGTAAAACGCACGAATGGAGGAGTGGATGTGGAACATTGGTCCTTGCTGATCCCTCGATGTGCTGAAAGCAGTTTCAAATCTTGGAATGGACATGAATGGCGTCGGTTCCCACCTATCGAGAGACTCAATGATGAAGCCGTCGAAACCCTTGACGTGGCATGCGAGTCGTCTTCCATCCGTGGGATCACTGGGATGATGCTTCTGATGTGAGGTGGACGGCGACACGCCTTTGCCCGACGAAAATGTTTCGTCGTAGCGGACTGAGGTACTGACTTTCCGTCCTTTTGTTTTTCGTCCTGACTCTGACTTTGCAGATGTGTAATGGGCTGACCAGGACTCAAGCTCAAAGGCGGCACCTCGTGTTTGGCCGGAGACGCTGGGGTCGATACCCGCAACCTCAAGGCTACAACCAGAACCTTCAAAGCTTGCCTCAATGAGCCACGCAGGGAGTTTCCGTAAGAAGGCACCCGAAGGAGACTTTGGAACAACAGCTGCCTCCTCGGGAGAACGGTGCTTAAAGTGCCTCACTATATTATAGATTGCTTTGCTTACTTCTTCTCGCACCATGAGGATGGAGAAAGTCCGCAAACTCCCCTGGAGGATGACAGAAACAGTTGTCGATGCGGTGAGTTGAACTTTGAGTTCCAAGGCTTCATTCAGGATCAAGTTGTGTGTTGTGCCAGTAGAAGCTTGATAATATAGTCTGTGTGACAAAACGCGGAAGCTCGACCCAAGAGAGTACAGCAACTCTCCTCCAGCCGAGTGAGAGGATTCGACGTCCAGGGAGATGGAAGAGATGGAGGAGATGATCATGTCGTACTCGCCTGGACCAGCGTGAGCAGGATTTGCAACGGGTAACACAAATCTAAGTACGGGTTCGTGGATTGAGAACTTGATGCTCGCTTTGGGAAGCAATCTTGAGATGAGACGGTGATGATCTCGAGAGGATGCTCGGGCTCGAGACTCACGGGTTCCCTGAGAGAGGGCCAACAGTTTTATTAGGTGCTGTGGTGCCAAATCGAGCGATGGTGAAGTGACGACAAGGTTGGCGAACAGGATATTTGTGTTTCTTTCGGCGACGCCCCGGTCTTGTGAGAAACTCATAGTCTTGGCCGGCAGAGTCGTCCTGATGGTGATTGTGGCCATAGGTATGTACATGATCCTGTTCGGGCGAGAATCGTCCTCATCTAGGCTCACAGAAATCGACAGAGCAGCAAGCAAGGCTTGGTGGGCAGTGTCTTCCCTCTGGAAGTACATACGATGGGCAGGCGAGTTTTGCTCCAGCCTATGCAGGTCGATGCCAATTTCGTGAATGACAACGTTGGCGACCAAGGGAAGATTGGCTTGCCTGAGGGACACAATTTCTTTCGAAATGCGCACAAAGCTCAAGCCTACCTGGATTTCCTGGACACTCTGAAGGACAGACCGCAGGAACTCTTTAGAGTCCGCCACGGTTTGGACTATAGCTGCCTCACGACTCCCGGGGTTGCCCAATTCTTCAGCCAAATCCTCAAAGGAAATCTCATCAACCGGACTCAGGACATCGTACTGTTCATCGGGTCTTGCCGCTTTTCTCCCCTTGCGGGAGAAGTGGATGAGCTCATCGACCGGTACGTAGACACGCCCACCTTTGATCGCGATTGAGGTGTCCCGGAGGCCATCACGGTCCTTGTAAAGCAGGCCATGCACGTTGATTGCCATTGCGTCGAGTATTTCGATGGGGTCACGGCCGCCAACGCCCATCTGGACGCTTTTGACCGTGAAAACCCATTCCGCCGGTTTCTGATCTCCCAAAGGGTCCTTCTTGTGTCGGAAGAGTCGTCCACGATCAAGGAGTTTCCGTCTGGTGTACACAGCCGCTGTTAAGGTGGAAATTTGCACATAGCCCACGCCAACAATTTCCGCAGAAGTGTTATAGGCACTGACATCGAACATCCGTAACAGGTGGATTTTGCGGTGCAGGCGTTTGACCTGTTCTTTGATGTTGGTCAACCTCTTCCAAAGCTGGCTTTTTCCACCAGCATGACGTCCACCTTGCCGCCGTAAATCTGCGTCTTCATCCGATTTCCCCTTGACCTTGTCCTGCGAGTCTGTTTTGGCAGAGTTGTTTTCTAGGGCGGTCGGATCGACGGTGATCTTCAGTTCTTCGAACACAATACTGATCCATGTCGGCTGCGCGAAGGTAGGTCTGCGCAAACTCAGTCCTACACCTCGCAAATCTATTCTCAGTCCCTCTCTTGGAGCGTAGGATATGTGTCGCAGACTGAAGTAGCCAATGCGCTGAATTGATATGCCAGTCGCAATGCGCAGAATCGCAAGCAGGATGAAGGAGGATAGGTAGAGGAGCAGGAGGACGGCGGCGACCGACGTGCCATTAACGAGAGGCATTTCGATATTTCGGCACTATCTGCCAATGTTCCAACACCGACCGGAAAGAGGCAACAGAGGTCAGGTGTGTGGTCGCAGGGGTCACCTCAATTCGTGGGTATGATCGCTATCGTCGAGACTGCAGTCTCTCTGAAGCCACATAGTTGGTTGTGCGTTTCCCATCACTCTTTGGATTACCCTTCGGGTCGAAGCAAATAGGTATGGGCACAAGGGCAGCGTGTGGACACTAAATCCAAGTCGAGGCCTTTGGATGCGGTCTTCGAGGCCTGTGGAGCGGACTTCAGTGCTGAGACGGTAGTGAAGTACAGGCGCAATTGCTGTAGAGGTGGGAGGCGCTTCAATTCAACAGAATCAAGTCATGCGATCGCGAGAGAGAAAGTTGCCGGCGCGGCCGGGCAATATCAATCAAAGCTCATGGTGGAGCAAGGAAGTATGGAATGTCGCGAGGGTGCGGGCCAGAGAATACGAGGGAATCCGTTAAGAAGGCGAACAGGTGGAGGATTGGATTTGGGGGGGGGTGGAGTGGGCACGCCGCTCCGGGATGAAACTCTGCGGCACATCAGTGATAATTAATATGCAGCCCAAAACAGCTATCCATTGGTGACTCAGCCTATGTCAAGGATGAGAAGGAGCAGCCTAGAACGATTAAGCTCCTGGTCTCCCGATAAAGATTGTACATATTATCCGTTTCCAGAGATCTTTGACCCCGGCATCTGGACACGCTAATGCTATAGGTCGGACTCAGCCCGTCTTCCTACCACAGTTTTATCTGAACTCCCCCACCCCCCAAAAAAGGTTCGTCAACCGCTCATTGTGTCTGTCCCCGTGTCATGACCATATTTGGAGTAGGGCTGGCGGGACACTGCTCTTGCGTCGGTGGACACTATCAGGGCTAAATACCCCGACTTATGGTCTAGGTAATTGTTGCATCCACTGCCTTCTGGTGTCCTACCGCGGCGCAGTTGGTGATCTGGTGGACGCGACCAGTCTGCGAAAGTTCCCATTTCCTAATCTGCAGTGAGGGTTGGTCTTTGAGATGCATGTTACCTGTAGCCATCGGCTTGATAAGCACCGCTGTGGTCTTTTTCGGCCAGATTTTCGGTAGCATGTTCGTCAACGCGATACCATACAAGCTCTGATCACGCCAAAATAGCTCTCAGGTTGGACGGCTTTTAGGCTCCTGGTACTGAAGCTGGACATCTTTGTCCTTTGCAGCCCTCAGAGTTGCGATCTTATCGTCCAGCACAGCAATTTCCGCTTCAACTCTCAGAAGTTTCTCTGAAAGCAAGTCCTCATACTCTTTGTCGGACAGAGATTTCATGGGAGAAAAAGCAGCGAAGCCGTTCTTTAGACGTGATGAGAGCTGGGTAATAGATGTAGTGCCATGCGTGGTATTCAACCCTGCTTGAGTCAGAGCTCCGATCACTCCGAACATGATGCCACCGGTCAAGAGGCTTCCTCGAGGCACTAACTGCTGTCAAAACGTGTTCATTCTGCTTTATTCCCGCCACTCACAGAAGTTTGCAAATACTACTCCTGAACATGAGCCTGCAATGCTACTTGCGGCGATCTTGTGCAGATCATTATCCCGGTTCAAGGCACCTGCCAGCAACACACTCCGGCAATCTGGCAAGACGTGAGCTGATGCAATTTCAAGATTTGGGCTGACACAGACAGAAAAAGGTGGTGCCAGCACAGAACCATTGTGTTGCAGAAAATGCGGTATAGGCCAGTGGATTCGTAGTCTGGATGAGAGTGCCCGCGACGCCGCCGTATGCCGCACCACAAGCTCCTGGTTACCATAGTCAACACATCAGATTGCTGATTGTTCTTTAGATAGTCTCGTGTCCCACCTGTCGCGGCTCCGACGTAGAGGGCCGGCACAAATGGCGTCCAGAAGATATCTTTCCCGGCTTTAGGATTTTCCTTGGACATGGCGCATTATATAGCTGTTGCAGCTCCTCACAAGACAAAAGCAAGACAAAAGGAATGGCACCGGCGGCTATCGAGTCCCAGTGAACGGGAACAGATGCGCCTTTGAGGTCAGAAGTGCAGGATCGCGCCAAGCCCCCAATTTGGCACGGCAGATCTAAACCCAAAATGGCATTGAGCGGGTCAAGGAAAGAAATGGCCGGACAAACCTGCCCTGCAGAGTCTCTCCTACCGCCCGCAAATCTTTCAAGGCTTTCGTACACATCCTCTGCGCCGACATCCACGAGGCGCTGCACTTCGTCTCCTATCAAACACCATCAATTCCAGGCTACTGTCTGGTTGGAGTGCGTTCGACGACGTACTTGGACTGTGACATTCGACTCGCATTTTCAAATCCAGCAGGGGACGTACATATTTAGTGCGCCTGCCGATATTTTGCAATCATGGGTATGAGCACATGGTGACAGGGCGACATTTGGCGCACAGCCTGCGCACCTGGTCGTTTCGTCAATCTCACTCGCTGACGTGTTATAGCTCCCAAAAAGAACCAAAAAATGTCCCTCGGGACCTTCTTGCAGGACGAGAGTGCGTCCCACTCGGGGTTGGTTGCAGCCGACATCAGTCGCTAACTGTTGGTAGACTATGGTTCTTGGGCCGATGAGATGGAGGACATGCCCCTGCCAAGTAAGCTCAGCGTGTACGAGATGAAAACACAGATGGACAGGGGATGCTGACTGCGTTTGTTTAACAACAGCCTCTGACACACGACCAAGCTATGGGTCTGAACGAAGAGCGTTTAGCACAACTACTGGCATGGGCAACGGCTATCCAGGTCAGTTGTCGCGTGCCATATCATTACCGAACAGGACAGAATGCTGACTGTAGACTACTGCCACCCACAGACCGACGAGATACATACCCTGCACGAGAACAACTCCCTCTCCCCACGCAACCCCCTTACACTGCACATCTCGCAAACCTGTCCTTCGATGCCACGCAAGGAGATGTAAATGATTTCTTTAGAGACTGCCAGGTCACAAACGTCCGCATTGTGGAAGACAAACAAGATCGCAAACCCAAGGGCTTCGGTTATGTCGAATTTGCAACACTGGATGGTCTTAAGGCTGCATTGGCTCTCAGTGGCAACAACTTGGCAGGTCGTCAGGTCCGTGTTAGCGTCGCCGAACCGCGTGAGTTATCATTTTGGCCTTTATGAAACTGGGACTGACCGTCTGCCTAGCAAAAGAAAGGCATGAGACCCGCGATTTCAGCGACTGGTCAAGAAAAGGCCCTCTTCCAGAACTGCCGAATCAACGCAGGGTTTCCGACAGGCCAGGAGGTTACGGCGGCCGTAGCTTTGACAACATGTCCGACGCCGGAAGTGAGAGGGGCCACGGGAACGAACGTGGCGCCCGGCGTGGGTTCGGGGACGGAGATGGCAAGGTTCGGGACTTCTCAAATTGGGAAAGAAAAGGACCATTGTCACCGGTCACACCTGGCCCCACGAGTTTAAGGGAGGGCGGGAGACAGGGAAGCAAGGAAGGCTACGGCTTTCGCAAGAATTCGCCGTCCTGGGGCGATGCAAGATCACAGGACGGGTCTCGGCCTCCACGACGTGAATACGCCGAACGACCTCCTCCCGAGAGACAACCGACCGCACCGGAACTTGATAATCAATGGCGCGCTCGCATGAAACCTGATTCTACCAAAGTCCCGACTCCCGAAGCCAGCGAACCCTCTTCTCCTGCCGCGCCGCCGGCTCCAGCAACCAGACCGAAATTGAATCTGCAGAAGAGAACTGTTTCCGAGACGGACCCCGTGGCATCACCTGCTGCTATTTCGGATGTTAAATCCAGCCCGTTTGGAGCAGCTCGTCCAGTCGATACGGCATCTAAAGAGAAGGAAGTCGAAGAAAAGCGCCAGCTTGCTCTTCGACAGAAAAGGGAGGCGGAGGAAAAAGCAAAGGCTGACAAGGCCGAGGAAAAGAAATTGGCAAAGGAGAAAGCTGAGGTGGACAAGGAGCGGGTCAAGGAAACGCCTAGCAAAGAGACCAAGGAACCCAAGGAGCCCAAGGAGTCTTCTGCTGCCAAAGAAAATGGCGAGGACACGGCCCAATCTACGCCAAAGTTTGATATTCTGCGTCGTGCTGACTCGGGCATGAACGATATGGTTGCGGATGACGAAAATGACGAGGAGGCGGAAGAACGGCCTCAGCCGACAGACGACAAAGCAGTCAAACCAAAGGAAATCGTGCAGACCCCAACGTCGGCGAAGGCCAATGGTTCTTGGAGGAATGCACCGTCTGCCCAACCCCAACCCCCCGCTACCAGCACTGCTACAGAACTGGAAGAGGACGGCTGGAGCACAGTGTCCAAGCCGCAAAAGCAACGCAACCAGCGACGATACGGTCCGTCGAGAGGAGCGGCGTCCTGAGAAAATATCAGAGTTGCCACTCCAGGGCCGTGCGAACGATCATGCAGCACATGCTGTAGCTGAAGTTTTTTGTGCGGTCTTTTGTACATCTACTCGCCTCTCACCATATCTGGCCGACCTGCAGTTTTCAAAGTACAGTCGGTGTGGGAAGGCGGATCTCGGCAATTTTGGCTATTCTCCAGTCTTCGCACCTGTTCCCAAAAATTCCAGGGATCGGGAGTCTGCTTGCTTTGTCCAGCATGGAGGAGTTTGGGCAGGAGAAGGGTCTGGAACTGTAGCCAGAGAAAGTCTGATAAGGATGGGATCGCGGCTCCGGAAAAAAATGATTTGGAGAGACAGTCTCTCGACTCGCACTCGTGTCTTTACTCAAGGCTGGCCAAATACGACAGACCACATCGCCTTTTAGATGGCTCATAGAACAAGTATTGCTTTCAGGGTGTGTGTTCGTCCTCTGTCCTCTCTGTCCCCAGCACCCACAGCATGCACGTGTCACAGCGCCTACCTTGAATGGCACAGGTAGTCAGAAGAGGCCCCCAGTCCAAATGCTTCATCTGCAATTGACTCCTACACTGTCATCGCCACTGATGAGTCGCCTGCCCAGTGCTACCTAGGAAGATACCAGGTGCCTCGTTAGTTGGGTGCGTGGGTACTCAAGTGCTCTAGATGGATCAGATCACGTGCTATTACCAATCTCAGGAAAGTGAGACGAGGTGCAATCTGGACCAATCAGTGGGAATCAAAAAATATGCCAAGGCCACAGCCAAAAAGTGTAGTCACTGGATCTCGAACATGTGAGTGAAAAAAACAGTGACCAAAGCAAACACTCTTGGTCTCTAGCGACCAGAATCTCTGCCAACCCTTCACCTAGTCATGAGATGGGGTACAGACGATGGCGAAGGGCCTGGACGACTTGATCGAGTTTCTGCTCGAGGAGATTGCTGTCAGTGGAAGTCGAGGTCAGTTTGATTTTCGCGACTCATTTTCCCCCTCCAAACCTGCATGATCCGAGGTTCCCAGTGGCGATGGGTTCCAACTTCACTTTCAACCACTGGATCCGCCCCACATCTATCCATCAACGAATGCTAACTCAAGTCTACGCGTAGGTGTTACTATCCGTGATGTTGCTCACTTCATCTCTTCATTCTACAACGACCTGGAAGATAACTCACGATCCAATGCCCCCGTTGAGCACATTGAACCAAGCCCTCCGGTTACAGTTGATTTCCCCCTACTTTCCAAGATCTGGTCCTGGTTAGGTCGGCATCCTGATGTCTCTATCGGTGAAGATAGAAGGTACAACAAGACATCTTTGACGGAGATTGAGATTCAATTTCCGAACTACGTCGACCTTGGTCCCAATGGTAGGCAAATACCCGCTGAGGACGGTGCCGACTCGGACGGGTCAGAGCAACCCGGCACAACACCAACGAAGCAACCAAGACTTCAGAAACCCCGTGCTAGTAAGGGTCCACGGATCTCTGTTAGCGAGACGCGAATCTGGCAAGCGATATGCGGTCATCCGCCAGACCTCAGCAAGGTTGTACCTCTTGAGTTCGAACTCTTGTCTCATATTGCGGCAGCAAGGTCAACTGGAATTTTACAAGGAGACCTTGTGAGAGCATCTGGCCAGGACAAACGCTCTGTACCTAAGCGGACGGACTCCCTACAAAGCAAAGGCTACATCACAAAGGAAATCGTTTTTCGCCACGGTACTCGGACAAGTCGACTGACGCTGAGAAAGTTCGCCCGACAAAATGCAGCAGACGCTGAGCCGTTCCATAAGCTCCATAGCCTCCCACAACGTGGTTCAACTTTGCGAGATGTCGTCCGCAGGATTTTTGATGTGCTGGAAGACCGCAAGCTTATATCTCAAACAAGTCTAGCAGAAGAACTGAGCCTGGGGTCTTCGGGGGAGTCCGCCATCCTTTCCAAGATCATCCGTCGGCTCGAGAAGCTGAAGTGTATCAAGAGAGTCCGAACTGCTGTCGGACCTTCTGCAACCTCTGATGACCTACGACATTTCGTTCAACTGGTGCGGCGTGCCGGCGCAGTGGACCTGGATAATTTCGACACAGAGATGTTGTCTTTGAGCCAGACAGTTGAGGAGTTGGCATCCACTTACGACCGCAAAGATCGCAACAATGGTGCCCTCGAAGTTCCAGCCGCCGAGGAGGAAGATGACGAGTCCGACGAAGCTGTTTATAAACCTGCCAGGTGGAACCCTGACCGCTTGATGCCTAATGTTATGGTTGATGCCGTACGACTTGCGGGTCAAGAGGGTCTGACGAATCTGGTAAGTCCATGTAATTCCCCAAGTCTGCCACAATACTAACAGTGAGAAGAATGCACGTAAAATGATTACTGGCGACTTTGTGCGCCGTCAACTAGAGTCTCTGTTACTCCGACTTTCATGCGAATCACTCATCATGCAGCCCCAACATTTGTGCCACTTGGCCATCGTCCGGACCACCGTGAGACAGGAAGGGGTCACGCAGTATGTCCATTACTCGTGGGATACCTTTCTACAGAAGGCTACAGACCACCATCTCGACGTTTCCGATATCCCAGGTGCTGGTCAGATGATGAAGAGGCTTGCAGAAAATGACGCTGGCTCCGATGTCGACCACCAGAACTCCCTTCATTTTGATGTTGATGAGTTCGGGTTTCCGGTGCAACCCCCTCTGGCTCTGCAGCTGCGTCACGGCCAGGCTACCTTTTTCGAGTTAATAAAGGCAGCTGCCGCTGGAGATGTCAAACAGCGCAACGGGGAACCTGCCATTGTTAAGCACGGGATGAAGATGGCTCTTACAACACGCGACGAGTCGACAGCCGTGTCCAGCACGCCAAACCGGGTTCCTAACCGGTTGTCTCACCAGCCGCAGCAGCCTACGGGACAACCGCTAAAACGCCGCAGAAATTCAGGTGATGAGAAGACAGCAATTGGCCGTCCTCGCAAATACATGCGGGGCACGGAAAAGTTCTGGCGGATGCAATTCAAGCAGGCAAGACCGGATGCTGGCACGAGTTCTGACAACCTTACAAAGGGAATCGCCCAAAATCCCTCGGCCGTTGCTTTACATGCCCGACGCCCAGCAGGTTTCGATGAAGCACTAGTCCAGGCCCTAGAGGCCAAATTGCCGATACCCATGCATCCGGAAGACATCAACGAGGACTGGGTCCGTTCGACAAAAACCATGATAGATCGTTCTTCAGAGGGCATCTATATATCTCCTAAAGGGTTTCGCTCCGACAACAGCCAGAAAGTAGCGCAGATCATGATTGTAAAAACTCCACGGCTAAAATCACTCGACTTCAACGAGAGGGACGTCATCCATCCATTTCGCTTCCTCTCTTCTAGCGCGTCACATAGCTTCCCATTCCGAAGGTATTATCCTAATCTCCCACCCTGGAGTCAAGCAGCGCCAGGTGCGCCAAGATCATCGAAGCGCCAGGCTAGAAGGGCACTCAGCAAGGTCGAACAGAAGGGGAAAACAGGCCCTAGATTGGGCGTTTTCTATGAAAACCCGCGCCTGCAGGCGCCACAGGCTCCTGAACTTCCAAAGGCCGGCGATGTTCAGCTACAGGTAAACGTGTCCATGGACACTACCGACGAAGAAACCGGACCTCTCCGTGAGAGCACTTTGTTGCCTAGAGACTCATCCCCCGCATCGATGAATGAGGTCGTCTCTCCCAAGGACGTGAGAATTGGAATTGTGCAGGCCGAAGGAGGTTCGCAACAGAGCAATCAAGAACGAGACCGCAGCTCAGTGACACCGGTGGCTCCAAGCTCGAGGCCCACCACCACCGAAACCCCTCGTATCAGACCTTCCAGAAATCGGAGGTTAACCCGCAAAGCCATCGAGTCTCGGAATTCAGATCAGCCCTCCTCCCAGCTGCCTGATGTCCTTTCTGAAGCTCCGAAAGTCCCATTCGATATATGTGCAGCAGACTCTGGATTCCAAAATGAGACATCCCTTGATCAAGAACCTGAAACACTCAGTGCAGAGGCAGTGACACATTCTATAGACCACTCGCCCACAAAGGAGCGCTCCGCAGATATCCCAGACTCGGATACACAGAAGACACAAACCCCTCACTATGCACAACATCCCATTCCCAGTGCCGCAGAAAGGGATGTTGATGCTAGTCCCAGTGTTGGTGATACAGCAGTTACGAGAATGCCTGCGGTTGAAAATGACATCACCGAGAAGCCAGCTACACTGGCTATCTTAGAGGGAATCTCCGAAGTTGCCACAACCAGAAGTCCCTCTGTGGCTGAGCGGGTGCAAGAGAGCCATCATGTCGCAGAAGAGATGGACACTGTGCACCAGAAAAGCTCCTTCCCATCTGAGGCCGACACCAGACAACGAGTCTTAAAGGCAAGTAGTGCAAGAACTGAGTCTGTTGACACAGGCGACTCTGAAGAGGAACCACAGCCAAAGAACCGACAAAGTCAAGGGAAACAGCGCTATTTCGACGGTGCCAAGGCACTCTTTCGGAGAATAGTTCTTCAACTGATTCAGGAGACATCAGGGGTCGTGCCAAATGATCCGCCTACGCTCAAACGCATCTCGTTGCCTCGCTGGCAGGAGGCTGGTGGGCAAGGTCGACCCTTGCTTAAAACAATCAAGACTGCAATCAAATCCTTGACCGAATCTCGGAGACTAAAACAGGTCATTTTCACGTTCCGAGCGAAGTCTGGGCTTATGGTTAAGCGGTCAATCATCTTCTTACCGCATATCGACCCTTTGTCTCAGGCGGTCGAAGACATGAAGCAGAATATTATCAACGCAGAACCAACTGACTATGTCCCGCCTGAGTGGCGGGGTGAAGGCTATCGCATTCCCCTCGTCAATAAAAGGGCTCCGAGCAGAACGCCTGAAGTCGAAGAGCGACGGCCCAGAAGACGACGCGCATCGACGGCAGCGTCAGACGGAACCATCGCCTCCGCCGCCAGTCAGCGTGAGGGGAGCCATACGGAAACAGCCACACCGTCTCCGGTTGTAATGCCAGAGACTCCGGCAACGGCTTTCCTCACGCTCAAAGTTCCAGCACTGGGGTCACTTCCAGTTGTGCATCTCCATAAGTGGAGGGCAGAGTGTCCAGTAAGTGCTTTACGCTCCGATACTTCCGATGCGAATCCGTGGAAATCGAGCGCGTTCCGACCCGTACGGCGGCGCCGGAGAGTGGAACAACAAGCCATGAAGACAAATGGACGTTCAATCATATGGCGAAATTTCCCCTCCTCATTGGAAGATATCCTGCAGCTTCCTGCTCTCAAGTTGGACTACGATGCCTTTCAAGCCGACGATCCTGACTGGCAACGTTTTGCCTGTGAGGTCGAGGGAGTTCGCGCCTGGGAAGAACAAGAGCCCGAGGTGGCTCTTTCGAAGCGCTCTAAGTTCGCTTTCATCAATCATTTGGTCCCAGGTGCCTTGTATGCAGGGTCAGTCGTTCCCTTGTCTGTTGAATTTAGTAAGATTGTCAAGTTCGACAAAGATGGAGTCGATTTTGAGGTTGCATATCCTCCTGCCGGATCATGGCCAGCATTTGTGAACGCCCTAAATGCACCTCCCAGTGTTACTTCCCGAATCGCAGCGCTCGACGAGACAGACTTGATATCGGCGCCACCTTCTTCCCCAAAGCGTGGCATTCGGCGGTCAAACAGACCGTCCAAGCGCGTGCTGTCTGAAGATGACCACGGCTTCGTCCGCCCACCGGCACCTAAACGCCGCAGGAAAATAGCACAGGGTCTATACTCGGCACCATCGAGACGGACTGGAATACTAGCTCTGAATGCTACACGCCAAAAGCTTCCTCGAGGTGCCAAGTGGCTGCAGACCATGCCAGAGGAAATGATTTATCGCATTGCCATTGCTGTCATTGTTGTTCGGACGATAGCTGGCGGTATGCAAAGTTTTATCAACTGGCAAATTGTCATGACGCTGTTTCCGGAGCAAAAAGAAGAAGTTATCAAAGCTCGGTGGAACACACTATCAACAAGATACAGTTCCGACATACAAAATCTCACGGATGACTTTCAGTCGAAATACTTGGACGCGCTGCAAGCGGGCGAGGTAGTGTCGGTTACCTTTGATGACATTGGAACCACAGATTGGGGCGCCATTGTCGAGTGGGCTCTGAAGAACCTCGACCATTTCAACTTGAGGCGGATTGCACACCTTCCAGCTGACCGAGATGATTTGCTGGATCGCTATACCGTGGAATTTACCCAACCCAAATACTCTCACAACCTCATTTGGGGGAACAGCACGACGAACGTCAAGGAAGAAGTCGCTAGGTCGGTTGTTTTCGGCACATGCGCTGATTCGACTATGCAACCCGGTATCCTTCGTTATCAACATGACTTCGAAGTTGAGATGGCCGCGCCAGCCCTTCGCGTGGCCAAATCATGGGTACTCGCCACCATTTTCACCCCAGAATCAGTGTTCGATGCGGCACTGGCCCAGACCAAGCTCTCCTCCCTTGGCTCAGACCAGTTTGAATGTGACGCACTCCTTTCACGTGTATTGAAATTGCTCCAAGACGAGAGGATCATACAACGGAAGCAGAGTCATCAGCCACTGGAGCAAGGGTTGCGTGTGCGCACATGGGAACCCCATAGGAAGTTCTTTGAGCGATTCGAGGAACGTTGCATGGTCACTCCCGAAGGGCTGCGTCGTGCCGTCAGATACAAAACAGAAATTCTTGACCGTGCGTTTGCTCAGGGACATAGTATGGTGATCGACAAAGAGGCAGTTGTATCTGACGGTGAGATGGTGGCAATATTGAACTTGATAGCGACGGGACGGATCAAGGTCCGACCAGGTGCGGACGTGCCCAAGACTCGCTACGGCCTGGATCACGAACGAATAGGGTACCGAACCAAAACCCTGGACAAGAAGTTGCTAGGCTTCAGCATTGAGATCACGCCGACAACGGAGTATCTGTTTGGAGGTCCTTTGTCGGGCGAATTTGGAATACGCCAGGTCCCCGTCCCACGGGGCCAGGCAGATGAACCTATGGGCTCAGTTCCATTGTGGGTCGATATTCATGGAAATGTGCAGGTGTCACTTTGGCACAAGCTCCTTGTGGGTGTGCTCGGGTTTGTCTCACAAATGCCGGGCGTGACTGCCTCACACATCTCAAGGGCTTTTGGTTTCGTCCCTGATGAAGTTGAGGTGGAGTTGATCATGCAGTGGTGTGCACAATCTGGATTCGCAAAGATGAACCCTCGAACGAAGGGATATGAGACATTGGAGTGGTGGTGGCTGTGTGTTGACGAGGCTGTCGCATAAGGGGAGATATGGGTTGATCAATTCTTTGGGTTGACGTGTATTGTGGGCGAACTTTGACAAGTACTCAGCGTTGACGTTGTTCAAGACCAACAGGACAATACGCATGAACGGTATTGATGGGATAGGAGTTCTGGGAACAGGAGTGCGCAGCTATTTCTTGTGGCGCAGGATGTTGGGTGTGGTGGCCAATGGTCTTTTGGTGGACAAGGGAGGGCGACTTGCACATGTAACAATCTCGTATTCGTGAAGATGCGCATCTTCAGGCGCTCTTGTACATTATTGTATATCACTAAGATGCCGGAGATCTTTCTAGCAGTTCACATTCCCACAGCAGTCTATGTCTATACCTCGTTAATGGTTGTGCAGCAGTATGTCTTCCATACAATTTCCCCGCATCCGCAAGATGCGCTTCTCCAAGTCTGCGGACCATTCAGCAACTCACCCTGACGGACATTCACCCACGGGCATCCAACAATCCACTCACAATCCCCAGAGGCTCGAGGCTGAGGCTTCGACCCTGCAACAATTACGCCGTGTCCGCCTTCGCGACTGATCTTGAGATTCTCCAGTGTCTTTGAAACCACTCGTTATCGGTGCCTGGCCGCGGGAGATGAGGTGCAATTGTGCTGCCCCTCCAACAGATCACGACTTCTTAACCAAGATTCACAATGTCTTATATTGTTCCAATACACCCTCCTAGCGGTGTACGCCATGCAATCAAGCTGAATTTCCTAGAGCCTGGCGTTGACACCCTTATTGTCGCGTGAGTACACTTCCAATCCCTCCGCGCCGATAGGCTATGCGCTAAAGGCACGATCTAGGAAAGCGAATCGACTCCAGATCTTCGAGCAAGGACCGGAAGGCTTGAGCCTGCTACACACGAAGACCGTCTATGGCTACGTTACCATCCTCGAGAAGCTCCGTCCGGAGTCTTCCAAGACCGACCACCTTTTCGTCGGGACCGATCGCTACCAATATTTCACTTGTTCATGGAATGCGCAGACCAAACAGTTACAAACAGAGCAGAGCTATGTGGATCTGGCAGACAAAGTCTTGCGCAGCTCGCAAGAGTCGGACAGGTGCCACGTGGACCCTACACGGCGGTACATGACATTGGAACTATATGACGGAGTCATATCAGTCCTGCCCTTTATCCAGCCTTCCAACAAACGGGTTAAAAGAGAAAGCACTTCCAACACTCAGGTCGGGGCTCTCGGTGAGCCGGTTCAGGTCAGGATCGAAGAGTTGTTGACAAGGTCATCGGCCTTTTTGGAAATGGATCCCGACTCAAAAGACAATCCGAGGCTGGCCATCCTGTGGGAAGACAACTTGGAGAATCCACAGCTAGTGATAAGAGAGCTCAAATACCGGACTGGTGGAGAGCAGGCATCTGCGGATTTGGAGAGAGTGGCCGAACTAAAGGGTGACCAACTCGACAAAGGCGTGAGCCATCTCATACCCGTCCCCGTTCCGTACGGAGGCTTCCTGATTCTAGGCGACCATGCCATCCGTTACGTCGACCGCGATTTGACAAATGTCATCACACAGCCCCTAGATGACGACTCGACGATATGGACTTGCTGGACCAACGTTGATGACCGACGATGGCTTCTTGCTGATGACTACGGCAAATTGTTCTTCTTGATGATTGAGACAAGCTTTTCCGAAGTGATCTCGTGGAGACTCGACCCTGTCGGTGTGACCTCGAAGGCTTCTTCCTTGATATATCTTGACGAAGGCTACGTCTTTATCGGATCACATGCGGGGGACTCGCAGGTTGTGCACATCGAGGAGGAAGGTGTCCGTATCGTACAGACATTCGCCAACATCGCCCCTATTCTAGATTTCACCATCATGGATCTGGGTCGAGGTGCCGAAGGGGGCGCAACCCCCGAGTTCTCATCTGGCCAAGCTAGGATAGTGACAGCCTCTGGTGCCTGGCAGGATGGTACCATTCGGAGTGTCAGAAGTGGTGTCGGTCTGGAGGAGATTGGCACAATTGGCGAGCTGTCTCATATTATCGACCTATGGGGCTTGAGCTCAACAGGGCTGGGCACTACGCAGGATACCCTGCTTGTATCCTTCGTCAATGAGACGCGAATATTCCAATTCGATGCAGAAGCCTCAGTTGAAGAAGTTGACGACTTCCACCACCTCGAACTCTCCCAACCAACTCTTCTCGCGACAAATCTTCCGGATCGAAAGCTCGTTCAGGTCTACGAGACCGGATTTCGGATCACAGATCTTGAATCGGACATGCTAACATTGGAATGGAAACCGCCCGATTCCGCAGCAAAAATAACAGCTGCAAGTGCCAATTCGGTCCATCTTCTTCTGGTGGAAGGTGGCCACACTCTCCACGTCTTCCACGTCGCCACCAGTGACGCGAAACCCACCGTCTCAAAGACCTTCCCACCAGACTCACAGATATCAGGTGTAACAGTCCCAGATACACAAAGTAATGTCTGTATTGTCTCGTTCTGGCAAACAGCCTCTGTTGCCATTCTTGACCTACACTCCCTCGACACCCTACAATCACAAATGGTTGGCACCCCTGGGACGGACATCCCACGTTCTGTCCTGGTCGCCAACGTCCTCCCTGATGCTCCCCTGACTGTGTTCGTTGCAATGGCCGACGGCACAGTCTTGTCATATTCCTTCGACCCCTTGAAGAATGCTCTATCCGGGATGACGAAGATCTTACTGGGAACTGAACCAGTTTTCTTCAAACGACTACCAAAGGATAACCAATCGGGCTTGTCCAACATATTCGCTTCATGCGAGCAACCCTCCCTGATATATTCCTCCGAAGGTCGCATTGTCTATTCTGCCGTAAACGCTGATAGTGCTTCTCGTGTGTGCAGTTTCAATTCCGAGGCATATCCCTCGGCCATCGCTATAGCAACTCCAAGCGAGCTCAAGCTGGCCTTGATCGGCACGGAGAGAACGACTCAATTGCAGACGCTTCCAATTCGCGAAACAGTGAGATGTCTCACCTACGAGCCCAAGGCCAAAATGTTCGCGATGGGGTGCGTCAGTCGAGCCATTGAAGACGGCGCGGAAGTAACAATGAGCTCGGTTAAGATCGCAGACGAGGTGAGTTTCAAAGAATTACACTCGGTCGATCTACAAGATCAAGAATTGGTGGAGTGTATCATTACAACGGGCTCTTTCGAACCGGAGAATGAATCCCGTGCCTACGGGGAGATGTTTGTGGTAGGGACAAGCCTTCTTGAGGAAAGTGAATCTGGTGAAGAGTGCCCGAAGGGACGGATACTCGTCTACGAGGTCAACAAAGAAAACAAGTTGAAGGAAGTTACTCAAATCAAGGTCAAGGGCGCATGTAGAAGCCTCGCCATGTGCGAGGGCAAGATTGTGGCGGGCCTAGTGAAGACGGTGAGTCTTTTATCATTGCATTGTGGACACTGCGGCTGACTGGTCTGTTCAGGTTGTTCTTTACGGGCTTGTGCCATCATCAACACGAGGAGATCACTCGCTCAGACTGGAGAAGCTGGCCACATACCGCACATCAACGAACCCGCTATCTCTAGCTGTCATGCCCGCCACTCCCAGAGGACCGGCCTCAATCGCCGTTGCAGATCTGATGAAATCTCTATCCATCCTTCACGTCAAGCATGATGCGTCTTCCTCAACAGGCTACACTCTGCAGGAAATATCTCGCCATTTTGCTACACTCTGGTCTTCAGCCACTGCGGCAATCATGGAAAACGAATGGGTTGTTGCCGACATGGAAGGTAATCTAACCATGCTCCGTCAGGCTAAAGACGGCAGTGGAACTAGTGGCTTCAACCGTCGGCTCGAAGTTACGGGAGAATTCCGACTGGGGGAAGTAGTCAATAAAATTGTCCCTCTGACACTCACTCCAGCACCACCAAAAGAAAACGGAAACAAGGAGATCGAGTTTTCAAATTCAGATGGACGGCGTTACGACCGTACGAAGGAGTCTGCTGCTTCGAAGAATCTGCGTGAGGGACCGATTGTCACTCCGCGGGCATTCCTGGCGACCATCGAGGGTGCGATATACATGCTCGCAACCATCAATCCGGCTTTTATGAACGTGCTGTTGACGTTACAGTCCACACTGGCCAATCGAGTACAAGCCCCAGGCTATATGCCTTGGAGCAAATTCCGAGCACTGAAGACTGAGGTTTCGGAGAAGGATGAGCCGTTCAGAGTTGTGGACGGAGAGATGTTGGAGCAGGCGCTGATGAGCATAGGCGACGACGAACTGGAAGGAATTATAAGAGAAGCTGGACTGGCGGAGGGGCAGCTGGGGGTGACTGTACAGGAGGTTAGAGGATGGGGAGAAGAGCTCAGGCGATTGTGCTAGACAAGCACGTTTGTACCATGGATTCATTGGAGGATGAGAAATACCCTAGTTCTGGTCCAGTTGCATGACTTCTTCTCCCTAGTGTGGTTGTCGGGTATCGGATGGAAATTTGGGACATCAGGGAACAGGAAGACATGCTAGAATCTCAAGAGCGCCATCTTTGTCTGGGGATGAGACCGACGACGGGTTGCGGCGTTGATTTTGCAAGAGTTGCCAAGCCCCGAATTCAACGAGGCCTGCAGCCTTCCGCTCCGCTCCGCCATGTCAACAAAGCCCGGAAACTCTTGGCATTGTCACGACCTCCGTATCCTCTTTCATGTACAACAATAAGGCGGGAAGGTGAAACAGAACAACCAAGGACAGGATAAGCGACGCTCGCTGCACTGGCACGCACGGGGCTCTGCAGTTGAGAACAATGGGGTTTGTGGGAAATTGAAAACAATCCCCAAAGACTCAAACAGACACCCGGCAAGTCGACAGGGACAATTTCACTTCATCTCAAGCCTTTACCTGCCCAAGAGCGCACTGAGGGCTTCGCTTGGCATGAGGGGGCTGGTGTGAGAACGATTAACAACAATAGGAACAATAGGATGTGTGGTCTCTCAGTTCACTTCGCTTCTGTTCTGTTCTGCGCCGCCGTGCTGCGCACCAAAACCCATTGAAACAATAGGGCGGCAGGGCGCAATTCACTTGCGCAGGAGTCACAATAGCTCCCAGCCACCTGCAGGAAAGGCCATTGTTCACATTCACATTCACTGTTACCGGCAGAGTCAATGCCATTGATAAAAACCTGAATAGAGAATAGAAAAAGTCATGAACGGAATCAATCAATAGACAGTATCTCTTCTCTTCCCCCTGCGTCTTCTCAAGCCGCCGTGTCTTTAATAAAGTCCTCTCCATCTCTCACCTACCTGCTCAAGAGCTTGATTCTTGCCATTCCACATCTCATAAACACATCTTACAAAATCATTGATCATTCTCACTTCTCCATTGAAACCCTCACAGCCTCTGCATACCTCAGCATACATCTGCATTGAGAGATCATCCTCGCTTCCTCACCACTTCTCTCCTCCTCGCTCTTACACAACCAGAACAGAACAGAACAACTCACATCACATCATAGTAGGTATCTGAACCACCGTCTCCAATCCACATTCTGCTCAGATGTACACGGCACTGTCTCCCATCCACCCTGCCTGAAGCCTCACCCAAATTCTCAACCACCATCTGTGTGCCCCTTTTTTTTTCCCATTGACCAACACTTCTCACTCCAGTCACTTACTCTCAACTCACGCAGTCAATCAGTCCACCAACCCTTTCTGCTCGACACAAGACCGCAAACCGCAAACCGCAAACCGCAAACCGCAAAAATGTGTTACCGCCAACCAATCGAGTGGAAATGCCCCGACTGCGGCAAGAAGGCGCGCGAAAACTCGCTGGCGCACACCCATTGCCCCAACAGCAGCGCGTGTCAGAAGATCCAGCTCAAGCTGCGGCCCCAGATGAGGTTCACGCGTCGTCCGTGCGCAAAGTGTGAGCCTGAACCTCCAATGCCGATGCGGCGCGTCAGGAACAAGATCTCTCGTGGCGGAAACGTGGCGCAGGTCGTGGTGATGATGGATCCGTTTGATGGGGACGATGAGATGGGAGTCTTGACTGTCAATGCCACTGCCAATGGTCCAGAGCGGAAGCAGAACCGCAACGAGGTCAAAGACAAAGATTCAATAGTGCAGCATGGTGAGAAGTTGGTCCTCAGGACACACCACGGCGAGCAGCACCCCGGAACAGCAGCACCTCAACACAAGCAGGAAGTGCACGGAGTCGAGCATTGCGCCACCGCTGCAACCCATCTTGGAGATGCAGTCATCGCAGAAAGCGAACGGAAGCTCGTCGTGTCATCCGGTGGTCGTGAGCGTCAGCGTGAGCACCGACCACTCGAGTTCCGTCCCCGCCACTGCAACAAGATCTGCCGCCCTCGCCACGCCGTGCAGGAGCACCATGGTCTCCCACTCTCCGCACCATCCGCCGCCGTCCTCAACAACTGGTTCAGGATCGTTTGAGACCTGACCCGACTTGATAGATCATTGGGGGATCTTGATACATTACATCGGCAGACAGACAGACAGATAGACAGACAGGTCATGAAAGCACCATGACAGATTGAAGGAGGGAGATAATCATCGCATCATTGAATACTCGATTGGGTGGGTGGGGCCATTGGAAAACGTCTTACCGGAACAAAAGTTAGTGACAGAGCTGGATTGTCGAGAGAGACACACGGAAGAATTTCTGGCTGGCCGGCTGGCTGGTGGTGGTCTCCCAGCATCTAAGAAGAATTTTTCTCACTTGGGTGGTGCAGGCTTGGTCACTGTGGACATGAGCCAGCTTCGAGGATAGAAACAAAGAACAAAAGGCACGGTGCGGTTGGTATAAAGAGAGAGAGAGAGAGAGAGAAATAGAGCCAAACTTCAAACAAATGCTTCATTCATATGCGAGCGAAAGGGGTGGAGTTAATTTCTTGGCATATCGGCTTACATAATATTTTTCCCTTTGCATATTAATTCCATCCAATCCAGAAACGTCATTAGACTCTGCGTTTCAGCCTCATGTCCAAGCCACAACTTCCTTTGTCACCCCATATCTGACCATTACCTCTCTCTGTGGGAGAAATATTTCAGTCCCAGCTTAATTAAAAGGAGGACCCTGTCGCCAGCCAGAACCTTTGACTTGCTGATTCGTTACCCGCCCATACTGACGTCCAGGGAAACGACATCGTCACTGTTCGTGAGTGAGGGATTCGACGGAAGACCAGTGACTCTAGAGAACCTCAAGCTGCTGTGAAAACTCATCTGATCTGACGGGGTGGTCTGTTGGGTTGCAGTTGAAGCGGCAGATTTGGGTCTAGGCCCAGACGCCGTGAGCCAAAACCTGCGATAATCTGAGCTGTTGGAGGAGGTGCAGGATTGCGCCAGCGTCAATGAACCGGAATTCAGCAGGAATCTTTCCGATCCAGGTAAATAAGGAAATCCAGGCCATGCTGACGCTTTTTGCGGTAGAGGATGCCAGGGCTCTTCAGTCTCTGGCACCACGGTGGCGGGCAAGTGTAGAAGACCAGCGACCCTCCTACCAATTCGTTTTAGAGTGTTGGAGGGGATCAAACATGGCATGACTTGCCTCTCATCGGACGTCGGGAAAAACTGTGCAACGACTGACTGGATTGTGCTCTTGTAGAATGCCGGGCTTTTTTCAATCTTTTGCCTCATGAGCCATATCGCCTGGTGAAACAGAAACGAGGGAAGTGGCGTTGACGGCCACCACAGAGTCTCCAAGGCCTTCACAAAGATTTCGGTCCACAACATGAATGGAAGAATGGCAACAGCGAGACCTTTCAAGTCACAGGGAAAGCCTTGATGATTTTCGCTCTCTGTGTGGTCCGGTCCAATGGAAAAGTTGGTCCCGTTGACTACACATTGCTCAAGAACTAAGCAAGCCAAGTCTTGAGCGTAACGGTATCCCCGGGTGACAGATAGCTGCTCGGAAGCCCATGGCAAATGTCGATCAATCTGGTCCTGGTTTCCATGTATATACGAGTAAACCTTGTCCAGTGCGGTGTTTAGGCACCTGCGCGTGACATCGCACTTACAGAGGTGATCCATGATGGAGCCTTTCCAGGAATTCATACAATAGTCTGGTGCCACTCCACACTCTTTGCCGAGATGATCCTGGCTTAGGACCAAGGCAGAAACTGCCCAATAAGCCTGTTCCTCGAACGATTCCAGAGGTTCAATGGTCTGGTCTCTGCCTCGCATGCAGACATGTTGACTTCGGGCGCGTTCGAGGTATTTCCAGGTCGTTGTGCCAGCCATAGACTGTCGGCCATAGCGAGAAAGAAGCATGTCCCGGACATCTCCAAGCATTGCTCGGGAAATTTGCATCTGAAGGGTCGTTTCGGCTGATTTCGCACAATTTATCGCACCGTGAACTACCTGTGGGTAAGCGGCGTCGGGCGTTCCATCATTTTCTCGAAAGTGGTAGTAAACGAGGAGATACAGGTCGAATGCCTCAGTATATGCTCCGAGGAGAGAAAATACAGTTGCAATGGTGTTCATCTTCGCGCCACGCTCTGTTTCGTCCTTATGCTCCGCTATGATGGTCGAGTACAAGTCGAACGCGATTCTTTTCAATCGATACATGCAGGGCATTGATGTAGAGGTCTTTCCCTTGCTACACCGAGCTGAGAGACTCTGTCTTCCACATTCCATACCTTCAGTATCTGGGTTCATGGACTCGGGCTGGATTTGTATATTATCAATTGCGTACTGTCCAGGCACGTCCGTGCAATCGCAGTGTTCCTGTTTGCGATCGGCCGTAGATATATCTTCAGAGTGTAACAAGGAACAATTTGAAGGGCGGAATGTGATTTTCAGGCACCTCAAGCCGTGAGATTCTTCCAATCCTGACTCAGATCCCCATATATCTGGGCAAGAGAGGTTACACATCAACGTAGTGCTGCTGTGCTGTGGTGGTGGTGCCGTGGAAGCTGATGTTGCGTCACTATCTGGGACTTCCGGGGCCGATGTGAAATCTCTCTTCTTATAAAAACAGATATCATGTTCCTTCAAGAGCCCGTCAAGTTGTGCGAGAGTGACAGGTCTCCCAATCAAAGCCTGCACCTCAAGTAGCATCTCGGTTCGAGTGGAGCCAGTCTCTTGCAAAAGCCGCAATTTCGGCCCAAGCATGAGCCTATCCGCCTTGGACAGTCTTGCATTGTAACGTGAAGTAACTGGGTCCTCGCTGATGAACTTTGAGTAGGGCTCATGACATAGGGTTAAGTGAGCCATAGTTGACCGATGTAGAAATCAATGACCATAGATCTCCAGACTGTTCGACTGTCTGGTGAGTACGTTCCACTCAGTAGAGCAAGATCAGAGAGTGGTGAAAAGAAAGTGGTTCGGAGAGGCCTTGATGAAGCAATTTAAAGTGCCAGCGCGTGCGAGAAGCTTCAACTGGGACCCAATTGCAGGAATCATGAATTCCAGATCCAGACTAGCGTTGGATCTGTGGAATACAGTTGGCCAATAAGAAGCAGACCCCTGGTGACACCGTCGGCGCCTCTTTCCTACTTCCGAGCGCCTTCCCCAGACTGGCAAACACGACGAGACAATGCCATGTCAAGGGGCTTGGAATAATCATATTAACCCAGGAAAAGGATAGCATCGGGCACCTCATGGCTATGGTTGAATCACAGGACCAAGACAGCGATGGCGATCATGCGAGGGATAATGACTAGGAGAAAGCGCACCGAATCAGGGCGGAAGATTTTGATCCAGAAGGAGTTATTTGAGAAGGAACCATCCAATCTGCTTGCTTGTAGCCTTTTCATATTGGCATGCTCTGGCTTTGCACCTTCCGGGACAGACTGTCAAATGACGCTTTCTTTCCTGCCACTAGAGAGCACACACACTTCTTCGACAGCCCCTGCTGAACTTCGCGCGGACTTGGAGTCAAGTATGAACTCATTGATATCCTTCAGATGGCAGCCTGGCTCTACAGGGTTGTAGAGCTACAGACTATCCATTTCGATGTCTCACATGTTCATTCACGAGACAACCAACATTGGTCCCTGTTGGTCGTGTTCATCGCGTGCTGCCAGCAGAAGAAGACTTTGTCAACAAGTCAGAAAGCAATGCCTACACCGGTGCTGTCAGATAAATCTCCCGAAACGCCGCTGTCGAATGCCCAAAGTCACTGCTTACCTCCATCGACAATCAGGGCTTGGCCGGTGATGTTGCGCGAACCCGGTCCGGCCAGGAAGCTCACCAAGGCGGCGATGTCGTCAGGGACCTATCGATAGTCAGCAGACCGTGGATGAACAAGATGACCGAGGATCAGATGCACCGAGGGTCTCTTCAGCGCGCATCGAGCTTCGACTGATCTCGCAAACGCTTCACCCTTGGCGAGTCCCTGTTCTTTGCCCATGACTTCATCAATCTGCTCCCACATCTATCAACAATTCAACGTCAGAGCTGTAGCTATGTGATTCATGAAGAAGGTGGAGCATCAAGACTCACTGGGGTGTCCACTGGGCCGGGACAATAGGCTTTGGGTCAACATCAGCGAGAAACGTTCCAGCGGAGAAGACGAGACGTGGATCCAAACCATTGACCTATGCTGGTCGGTCAGCCAAGGTCGAGTCGGACAGATACATATGTCGACGACTCTTACATTGATATCATATTCCGCCAGGTCGTAGGCCATACTCTGAGTCAATCCACGCACGGCCCATTTACTGGCTGCATACGGGGTTGAACCGTGTGACTGTTGAGAGAGACGGTTGAGTATATCAGAGACACTGTCACGAGAGCCGGAATTGCCGTATTGCTTTGTAGTTCTTTTACTCACCGGGCGATGGGCCGCTAGGGAGGCGGCGCCGATAATCCGGCCCCCTGTGCCTTGTGCAATCATTTGTCGGGCTGGCTTAATCGTTAGACGACGATAGGGGTGACAGGATCAGATATGAAGCTATACCGGCTTCCCGATAGCAGATAAACGTTCCTTTTACATTGACCTAGTCGGTTTGGGAGGTTTCATCTAGCGCGGTTTTCTTTCAGGCAGGGCAGGATTAGTTATACTCACGTTGAGAATGAGACTGAAGTCGTCCAAGTTAGTGTCCATCATTGACTTGGGGATGATGATCCCGGCGTTGGCAACCATGGTCTAGGGTGAAATGAACGACTCAGCAACCGAGCACATGATGTTCGTGGGGCGTGACCTGTACAGACCGTAAGGGGGCCCAGAGAGTCGACCGTCTCTTTCACCATCTGTCGGACTTGACTTTCATTGGTGATATCGGTGACGAAGCAGAGACATTTTCGCCCTGGAACCCAACAGCGATCAACCACGAGCTCGAAGATGATGCTGAGAGTGCCATATAGATTGGCTTGACCCTCAGATCGTCAGGGTTTGGGTTTACACACCTTTCTGCTCGATCTCTTCCCGGACCTTTTCGAGAAGCGGAGCTTGCTTTTCGAGGTCATTGATCTGTCACAGAGTAAGTCAGTTTGATATTTGTTTTTTGGAACTCTTCGGCCGCCACCGGGGAAAGACAAACCGCAACGTCCATGCCATCCTCGGCAAGTCGGAGAGCGATGGCCCTCCCAATCCCTCTTGAAGCGCCGGTGACAATAGCGACGGGCATGATTTACTCGAAGACAAAGGGCGGTCTAGTCAAAGCAAGCAGCAATAGGCATCCAATCGAACCGGAATCGTGCCTAACCTTTCACCAGCAGTAGTGAAGATGACCTCTGGCTGCTGAAATAATGTTCTTGATGTTTGCACCACTGAGGTCTGGACTTCTGATGTTCGAGACTAGGTTTGTTGTATTCAGCCGCGGGGGCACAAATCAACGAATCGGAACTATACGAACTATACGAACAGAGTGCAGAAAAGTCCCGTTTTGCCGTGGACCGTCTGGGTAATTATTACTTCGGTGCCTTCACCGGTCAGTCCAACCAACGAGTATCGATGGAGTTGCACCAACGGCAGGGCCACTGCCCCTCGGACGGGCCGATGGTGATTTTCTAAAAGGCTGAGCCGGCGTCAACATCGCCGCGTCCCTCCACACCAGAGTTTACATATTCTTTTCCGCGCCATGTCAAACTTGTCTTTCACAATTCATCAGGTGTTCAAACGGTCGTCTCCGAGTCTCCGACAGCGACAGTCCAGTAAACCACCAAAAAATGTCGGATATCAATGAACAGCAGACCCCATCTGGAGACAAGCTGGCACTCGGGCGACAGATGGTGCGGAAGTTTGCGGGGGACAAGCATGTGGACGCCGTCGCAGCTACCATGGTCCGTTAAAAAATCTGTTCTTCCCACCAACTCCTGAAGAAGAATTGCTGCTAATCTCGGGTGGTGATTGTCACACAGAAAAAGGACCACTTCTCCAAAGTCAGCGAGGAGTTCATCTCGGAAGTTTGTTGGTCTGGCTACGCGAGACCGGGGCTCGACTTCAAAGAGCGCGCCTTGATGAATATCGCCATGTTGACGGCGTTGGGGAGAGCTCCCGAGTTGCGCATCCACATCCGCTGCGCCGTCTACAATGGTTTCACCGAGGAAAAGGTCGCCGAGGCTTGTCGACATGCCATGGTCTACTGCGGCGTTCCTGCTGGCCGAGATGCTCTCATCATCGCGAGCGAGGTTTTTGACGAGCTGAGGAAAGCGGGTGACTATCTATAAGAAGGGCAGGCTAACAAGGGGTGATGTCTAGTTTTTTGGGGGGGGGCCATGATATCAAGTCATTATATTCAATCGAAACGGCTGAGTGCGGGTCACCGTTATTGAAACTGCTGCTGTTCTCCTTGACAACAAAGATTGTAAAGGTTCGGCCCAGATTCATCGTTCCCAAACGTGAACCTGGACTTTGTTTGAAGACCATCATGCTGCGAAAAGCTTGCTACGCAAAGCCCATCAAATTCAGCGGCCATAGACGACGGTTTATCACCAAGTTCGCTGGGGAAGGCGACCCGCGGAGCGTGGAAAGAACAATTAATTACTTCAGCGTGACCATGTACTTCGTTCAGCCAAAGAGCAGACGATACAAAAGAGAGTTTTCTTCATCAATGATGATATATTACTGCAGGAAGATCACAATCGTCGGCGTAAATCAAAGCCTTGTCATCCTCGGTCTGCCTTCAGAAGCGCTGGCCGATGCCACCCACCATCGAGGCCTATGTCCACTACACCGAGCATTCCACACCTCTCCCCATGTTGAAAATGGCATCTTTCAACGGACGAGCGTCGTCAGAGTCACTCAGAGCGGATATCTCCAGTCCGGGTGATAATCACAGAGGGTCTCAAAATCGCCAATGTCGTCGGGAAGCGGCGGTGCGGTCCCGTCGAGGCGCGCCTGGGCCGTGCGGTCACGCTTGCGGTTCTCGGCTCTCAGCCAAAAATACAGAATTGCCGTCGAGGCGAAGGCGACAGCAAAGATACCCAGCAAGATACCGTTGCCTTTGTAGAACTTGGGTGGGGTGTCAAAGACCTGGGTAGACATGATGATGAAGCTGTTGATGAAGACCTGCTGGATCCCGTAAACCGTGCTCCTCTTGGTGTAGCCGCCGTGAATCGTGCTGATCCAGGCGACGGCGATGGGGTTGCCCGAGTATGTGCCCGCAGCGACAAAACAGGTGCCCACGATGGACACGGTCGCACTGTTCGAGGCCAAGATGATGATGACACCGGCGAGGCAGCAACCAAGACAGGCCGCCATGGCGATGCCCCGCTGTTGGTAGCGGTCGGACAGCCAGCACGACACGGGCATCGACACCACGGCAAAGCTGTAGGGAATGATGGTGTAGAGCTGGGATGTGAGGCGGTCGAAACCAAACGCATTGATGAAGGTCGGCAGGAAGACGGCGAATGCAGCCGCGCTCAGCCCGACAGCCGAGAGCATCAGAGAACCTAGATACGTCTTTGGATCTGTGACCGCCATCCAAATCTGGCGAGGCACCACCTTTTCGCCGGCTGTGTTCTGGCCTATGAGATGTTCGGGTCAGCCGCTTGTCATCAGGGCAGAACAGAGGGGCCCATGGAGGGTAGAAAAAAAATGGAGCAAGAACATACTGGCCCGGATTCGCGCCAGGAGAAGTTCATTCTCGGAGCGTTTGAACAAGAAATGTCCGTCTTCAACCACCTTGTCTGGATAGCTGGGCAAGATGATCATGATGGCGAGCCCAACAGCGATGGTGGGAGCACCCTCAACGATGAACAACCATTTCCAAGAGGCAATGCCACGGGCATCGCCAATGTTCTTCTGGACACCGTATGCGATCAGTCCCCCAGCGAAACTGGCGATGCTGGTCGACCAGTAGATTAAACCTGTCCCGACGAGTTTCAGCGGATGGGTCGAATTCGGACTCAACAAGTTCACTTACAGCCTCTCAGCGCCAATTCGTCATGCTTGTACCACATGCTGATATACAAGAACGACAGAGGCACGATGGCCTCTCCAAAACCCAGAAGCAGACGAAGGCCAATCAGGTCGGCGAAGTTCCGCGACACCGAGAACAGAGCGGCGACGAGGCCGAACATGGTGATGGAGCCGCCGAGGACCCAGCGAGGGGCGAGAATCTTCATCAGGAGGGCCCCAGGCGTCTGAAGGACGAGAAAGCCAATATCTAGCGGAGGCAGCCGAGTTAGTCTTTCATCTGGATTTTCTTCGAACATGTCCGAACCGGGCATCATCCTGACTCACAGGTCACCATGAGGATCTGAAAATATTGGTGGTCGCTCAGTTTGAGGTCCTTCTGAATTCCCATGAGGCGTGCATTGCCGATATTGCTTCGATCCTTTGACAAAAGTCAGACCCAGGTACACGAACAAGGGGAGGATGGCATCGAGTCAGTACCAAAACACCCATCATGTAGCCGAGACCGAGCAGAGGAAGAATGGTCAGATCCTGTTTGCGGACGAGTTTTCTCTCGGCCTTCCGGTCGATAGAGGGAGTAGTCTCTTCGACGGTGCCGTCGTCGAGTTTGGCGGCCGCTCGATAAGGGTCGGGATGGACATTCTCTTCATACACCTCCGAAGACAATTTCTCTTTCTCGACCACCATCTCGTGAGCGGGCATCTTTTCACGGCTGAGCGGAGGGAGGAGGAGCGTTGACGTGGTCTACCAGATGTACCTGATTCAATCGTCAAGAAGGAGAAGACATGAGTCTTTTTTTATATGTTGACTGCTGATGACTCTCAAATATTCCACATCTTCCTCCATCGAGTCACCCTCTCCCCCAAAAGCGGAGAGAATCTGGGGCAGCAAGACCGGGGTTTGTCAACCATGCACGATGAAAAATTCCATGTTGGAACCAAGGGTCCACAGCCTTCCGCGGGCCGAATTTGAAGTTTATGGGAGCCGCCCACATCGACTATTATCCGGGGTTGAATGGCGGTGGGGATGACCCGCTATTGACCCACTATGGCTAGCTTCTTTCTCGGTCCAAGTCCTGGTCGAGGAGACTTACACGACTTGGGTTTCTAGTGTCTGGGGGTTATCCCCACGGATGAGTGCCAGAAAACCCGAGGGCCTAGGGCGAGCATTCGATGACAAGAATCATGAGGACGTGTTGGAGCCCTATTAGATATCGTCGTGAGCGATCTGGTTGACTGATTGACTGATTGACCTCGATAGTGTCCCGAGGATAATTGGACTCACAAGCATCGCAGCAAAAGTCGAGACAATTTCCCAGGCCTTCCAGCCAGAATTTTCGTTTATCAAACATTAACAACTCTGTCATGGCGAATGCTCTCTGGTCGAAAGAAGCACAGGATTTGTACAGTATACTTGGATCCTCAAAACAGGGACCTTCCCCCACACATACGAACAGTCGAACTCCTGAGCCACGGCCGAGCCTTTTGATATGGGGGATCACGGCGTCAACGGAACTTATGGCAACGACTACGGCCATTCCAGTGTCCACGCTACCAAGTCTTTGATCGGTGAGCTGCCGGCATGGACACCCCGCAGAAAGATCAAGGTCATCACCGTGGGAGCGGGCTTCTCAGGCCTCATGTTCGCCCACAAGCTGCAGCACCAGTACCCAGAAGTGGGACAAATGGTTGACCACAGCATCTTTGAAGCGAGACACGACGTTGGGGGAACATGGCTGGTCAATACATATCCCGGTGTCCAGTGCGACGTGCCGGCCCATATATACGTGTGTGATTGCCCGTCTGTCTCCGTCGTTTTGAGATGGGCGTATTCCAATGATTGCTGACAATGGAGCTCCCCGCCCGTCCACCTCTAGGCATTCCCATTCGACCCCAAACCGGATTGGGACAATTTCTATGCCTCAGGCGCCGAGATCGAAACATACATCCGCGCCACCGTCAAGAAATGGAACCTGGATCGCGACGTGAGGCTCCACCACCGCGTCACCGAAGCCATCTGGCAGCAGGAAACGGGCCGGTGGAGAGTGACAGTGGAGAAACCCGGCGGCGAAACCTCGACAGAATACGCCGACGTCCTGGTGTCAGGTCAAGGTGTGCTCAACAAGTGGCGGTGGCCCGACATCCCCGGACTGGAGCGGTTCAAAGGTTTCAAGTGCCACTCCGCCGCGTGGGATGCCGACTACGACTATTCCAACAAGAGGATCGCCGTCATTGGCAACGGCTCCTCGGGAGTCCAGATAGTGCCTCAGTTGGCCAAACTCCCCGGGACTCAGATCACGGCGGTTCAACGAAGTGCCAACTACGTCTACATGCCCCTGCCGCCGTCGAGGCTGCTGGGCAAGGAGGGAGATGACCGAGCCAACCCGCCCTTCACCGAAGAGGACAAGGAACGCTTCAGGAAAGACCCGGCCTTTCACCGTGCGTACCGCCGCAAGATCGTCCACCACATCAACAGCGCATTCAGGATGTACATCAAGGGCTCGGCCGCGAACCAGGCCGCGACCGAGATGGCCCGCAACCAGATGGCCGCCAAGCTCCAGCACGACCCCGAGCTGTGTGCCAAGCTGATCCCGTCGTGGCCCTTGGGGTGCAAGCGCATCACGCCGGCCGACGGGTTTCTCGAGTCCCTTCTTCGTCCCAACGTCGAACTGGTCAGCAGCCCCGTGACTGCTGTGACGGAGGACTCGATCGTGACCGCGGACGGGCGAGCCTTCCCGGTGGACGTGATTGTGTGCGCCACGGGATTCGACGTCTCGTTCCGGCCGCAGTGGCGCATGATCGGCCGCGACGGTGTCGACCTGGGCCAGCAGTGGGCCGGGGACGATGTGCGGTCGTACCTCTCCGTCGCGGCCAAGGACATGCCGAACTTCTTCATGTTTCTCGGCCCCAACGCCGTCATCGCTCACGGCTCGCTGCTGGAAGCCATCAACTGGACCGGCGACTACATCACCCGGTGGATCCGGAAGATGGCCACCGAAGACATCAAGGCCGTCGTCCCCAAGGGCGCCTGCGTCGACGACCTGGTCCGCTACGGCGACCGCGTCCACGAGACCCTCGTCTGGTCCGCGGGCTGTTCGAGTTGGTTCAAGCGCAACACGGTCGACGGGAGGGTCACGGCGGCCTTTGGCGGAAGCGCCTTGCTCTTCAAGCGCTTGATCTCGGAGATCCGAGCCGAAGATTTCGACATCGAGTACCGAGACCCCAACCGGTGGTCTTTCTTGGGCAGCGGGTTTACCGACTATGAGCTGGACCCCAGGAACTGCTTGTCATGGTACATTGAGCGCTAGGCTTGGCCTTTGGAGCAAAAGCGTGGAACAGGTAAACTTGGACCAGTTAATGTGTCTCGACTGGAGGAAAACATGATGGATATTCTATAGAGTCCTAGACACATATATACATATATATGTAATACCTTTGGGGAATGATTAAAGGGGGGTCAAATAGCGCTGCTTGAAGAGCGAACAATCTTCCCGTGACGGGTCGCAATATTGCCCACTTTTGGTAACCCTTCCAGTCATATATACATGCCTAGGTAGTAACATAGACCAGAGCACTTCACGTACCCGGCGAGGGCTGCGCCATGTCCCAAGCCCGGGGCATGCTTACCCACATGTCGGTCAAGTCGGAGAAGTCCAGGTTGAACAGGTCGTCGTCCGGTAGTCTGAAGGCTGGCCCGGTCAATACCGTGTCCTCGTAGTCGGGAAACCCAACCCCCAACCTCTGACGCGTTTCTGCCTCCAAGTCGTACGGGTTGGGTCTGGTCCAGTCTCGAGTGGTAGGAGAAGCATCGCGGGCGGCGGCACCGGTCGAGTTTGTGGCGGTATTGGACGGCGTGGCGACGTGCTGCGTCGGATTCGGCGTCCTTCTCCTCAACAAGCCACCACCCGTCCCCGCGGCTGACGCCCTGGGTGGTTGCATCTGTCGCCGCTTGAACAGACGGCTGACGTGGGATGCGGCAAAGGTCAAGAACCCGATCGCCCACTCGGCGGCGACGTTGATTTCCACGAGTTCCCTCAGCGCGAGCTTGCATTCCTCAAACCGTCGAGCCCCCTCCCGGCGGATCTCGGCGGTCGGAGACTGCAAATCAAAGACGTGACTCCAGCTGATGGTGAGGATGCACGAGATGCAAGTCCCAGGCAGGCGGCGCACCAGGTCGACCTGGTACATGTCCATGACGATCTTGTTGAGATTCGCGGCGGCCGCGCGCATTGATTTTTGGGACGCTCGCGTCTGGTTGGGGTCGGCCCCTAGGCTGCTGGCGCCGTCCGCCAGGGCCCGCGGCCGGTGGAGGCAGAATTGCGCGACGAGATACAGCATCGCCAGGAGGGCACGGTGGATGATGACCGCTTGCTCCGTGGAAGAGGCCGTCATCGGAACGGGAGACTGGTGCAGTAGATGGTCCGGCACCTGATCGCGCCACTTCTGCAACTCCTGTTCGCACATCTCGAGCTTTTCGAGACCGTTCTCGATAGGGAGGGTTTGACCCGACGCCTCGTCCACGGGATTGTTGTCCTGTTTGGGGTAAAGAATGCCAACGTGGCCGATGGGATTTTCCGCGTAGAACAGGTCCACGATGACGCTCAGGATCCGGCAGAGCTTGGTCGAAGCAATGCATATGGAAGCTAGCTTGGTTTCCGTCTGATCGACATGGCTCGGCGGCCGATTCGCATCCAAGGACCCGTCAGATCGCTGCAGGTCCTCCAAAGTGAGTGGAGCCACGACGAAGTCGTTGGACCGGATTCTGGGTGCCCGGTTACACCCCAGAGAAGTGATGGCATCGCGAATCAGACAGCACCACCAGATGCGTCGCCGGAGCCGCCGGACAGGGGCGGGCAGACCTTCACTGTGGGCATCTCGGTGCAGACCAATAGATTTCGCCACGGCCAGCGCTACGCTGCACCAGTAGTAGCCGTCTTTTTGTTCAGTGGGCGTCACCCACCAGGTGGTAAGAAGAGTGAGGGATTGAACGATGGCGAGGCGATCACGCTCGTAGTTGAAGTCGTACAGCAACTATACCCCTCATAAGTAACTTTCCGAGTACCACGGGCAGAGGGAGGATGAGGCACACAAACCTTTGTCTTGTTGTAATATGCTCGTCGCATGGCATCGCGGGTGAGGAACCCAGCACGCCGTACCAGCTTCACATCGGCCCAGGCGGTGGCGGAGAACATGATGGCCTGCAGCAGCAGTAGGCTGATAGTTCCATGTCGCGCCGGGTTCCTGATGCTGGCCTGGAACGAATCCCGGTCGACGAGGGGGAGGGAGCCGTGAACGAGTTCAAAGTAGTTCTTGAGCAAGTCACTTTGCAGTTCGGGATCCGGCAACGTCAAGGCACCCTTCCGGCGTAGATAGACCAAATCTTCAAAGGGACAGTCCGACGAAAATGGCCGGACGTACGGTGGAAGTTCTTGATCACCCTCATCATCATCATGCGACGTGGCTGTTGCATATAACGGGTCTACAGGGGCATTTAAGCGAGGAAGTGTCGTGTTGTTACTCGGCGACAGGGGAGACGTCAGACTCTGCGTGGCCGCCCCATACCAGTCGAAATGTCGATCTGGGGCGACAGTCTCCTGTGCCTCCCACGATTCGAAGGGTGAGTTACTATCAAGAGCGTCGCAAGGTTGTTGTACCGCTAAAGGGACATGAGACTCATTGGCCTGAGGAGGAGCCTTGATCGGGAGCCAGGATCCGGACCAGGAGTTCGCTGGCTCTTGCTCGGGCTCGGGCTCGGGCAAGGGCTCCGGCACTGGCTCGCTTGGTTCGACCGATTGATGAGGACCGGTGTGGGAGGTGGCCCAGGAAGCCACTGATCGGTTTTGACCTTTAGGTCTGCCTCGCGGTCGCCGTCGAGGGATGACACACTCGACCCGATCCAGGACGCAGTTGTAGCAGGGTTTGACGCCATCTGCGCTGCACCTCACTTTGCGGAAGCGACAGTAATTGCAGGCCACACTCGCGCGATGTTTTCTCATTGAAGACCGGTCGTGGATTCTTTGGGCATCCAGGTCACCAAGTGAGGTCGCTGGTGCTTCCGGGCCAGGGAAGCCGTTCGGTTCATCGTCTTCCATCTCGTTGTCGTCGTGTCTGGGAAAGGGGGGGGAAGCATTCACGGATGGGAAGTGGTGGTCAACATTGACACAAATGGGCTTACGACCACGAGGTACATGGGGAGGATTTCCCAAGCCATCCGCCCGAGTGGAAGTAAAAAGCAAGTTGATACGGCGAGAAAGGGGACCGCCACCCCCGCTCCCCACTTCCCACCACCCTCCTCCCTGGGGGTTCCCACGCTTTAGAACTTGGTCTTAGGGTCCCAGTAGAGTTGCCAGCAGATGGCTGGAGAGGGAGACAACCAACGGTTGGAGGGCAACGAATAACGCTACTACTTCATGGTGTGCTATCCTTCCAGCTCGAGGTTGTCTTCGCAGTACGACTCTTGAAAGGAATCTCCAATCGGATCATTTGTTTGTCCAAGTGGTAACTTAAGGTTGATTCTTCGGACCTCGGATAAATGCCCAGGGAGATTTATCAACCACTCACTGGGGGCCTAGGGCGGAGAAGGGCTGCTTGGTACATTGGTAAGAATCCTGTCTCATCCGAGTAACTATTTTGTCAGGGTATTCATGGTCATGGAGTTACCAAATGGATAGAGCCAATGTTGCCAGTGTCAGGCCTTTGTCCTGCTCCCGCTCAGAGCCTCGTCTATCATCTTTCACCGAAAGAAGACGACGTCACCCAGCTGTCCCCCCACTGAGACTTGTGTACTTCCTAGTGGCTTGTTGTTAATAATTCTCACCGTCAATATCAATGTACAGTCGTTCCCGAACCCGCTCTCCCTCTTGCTGACATTAGAGATATTAGCTGGTTCCGCTATGCCTAATCAGTAACAGTCTACTTTCTAATCTGAGCATGACTCGGCGACGATCCGTGTCACACTATTCCCAATACGCTGTGAATACCAGAAAAGCAGACTAATACCTAGGTAATAAACCACCTAAACGCTGTGGTTAGCAGCCTGCCAGCCTGCCTAATTTGAGGATATGTGAATGCTCCATTTTCAATCACTTGCTGGATCTGTGTATGATGTGATGCTGAGAGATTGGGCGCCATATGAGGAAGCTACTCTATCATCGCCTTTTGTACCCTGTAATTCCCATATTGGGTTGGGCAAGGACACAATTTCCCGAAAGGGCATATAAGGCAACTGTTTACTCAAACAGTTCCTCTGTCCAGCCACACTTGAGGCCCCTCAACGCCACTTCAGACGTGGATGAGGGGTCAACCACCGCGAAACCCTTTCCTCTGCAAGCTGGACAAACAATTTCCATGTTCTTAGACGAATGGTCATTTCCGCAGATTTCGAATCTTGGACCGATGGAATCCATGGATAAGTTCACGCTGTATTTACTTCCTCACACGACGTAAGAGCGTTGATTGAGTGCTTACTCGGGCTTAGATTATTGCGCAGTGACTGCGTCACGATCCGCGCGGGAGAAGACGATAGCAAATTCACCGTTCACGAAGCCCTTCTTTCAAAGTCTGGCTCGCCGTCGCTTCAGAAACTAGTGGAGCCGGGCTGGAAGGAATCATCAGAAGGATGCATTGACTGGAGGCACACAAGTTCCCAGACTGTTGAACGGATCCTGACTTGGCTTTATCTTCGCGACTACCAAAGTCCAGATCCTGTACCTCGAGAAATTGGACCAGAGCCAGTGGCAGATGTCGTCCTGGAAGAGCCACAGCCTGAAGTGGAACCTCCAGAACCTGCAGAACCTGACCTTCTCGAAGCCGAGGATCCAGAACTCCAACACGCGATATTCAAGTCATGTAGCATTCGTCCACTGACTCCACTGGGCAAGTGTGCTGGAGTCCCCCCCGTCGTGACTGCGCATAAAACTGCCGCCGGAGTGTTTGAGGGTCTGGAATTTCCTCACAAGGATTTCTCCTATTGGGAACCACTGCTCACCCATTTGGACGTATACAGTTTCGCAAAGTATCACCTGCTCTCCGAGCTGCAGGAAATCGCCCTCCAGCGATCAATCATTACGCTGAGGAAAATGGATTGCACGGTGGAGTTTGCCGAGCAGGAAGTCTCCAAAGCCGTTGAATTTGTCTATGCCAACATTCCCGCCGATCGAGGCAACGAAGAACCTATGAGGAAGCTCTTGTCGCAGTTTGCAGCTATAAATTACACCTCCCTCATGCACGGCAGCTTCGAGGCGCTTATTACTCGTGGCGGTGATTTCGCACTTGATCTAGCACGAAAATTATCGCGTCGCCTTCTTGCGCGAGACTCGGATGCATTGGTGCAAGACGAGCTAGAAGACCGCATACGAAATCTTGAGGCCCAGCTGCAGGAGCGCGATCGAGAAATCCAGAAGCTGAATGGAAGTCTAAACAATGCATCAGACTGGGACTGGGGCATCAGCAAGAAAGGAAAGCGGCGTTGAAGGGGCTGCTTCAATGGCATCTATGACTGTATGACTTTGTTTCTTTTCTTTCGGTACCGTTATCTACGAGGGTGGCTCTCGCCCGTTCATTGTCATCCTCTCTACCTCTTCTCCAAATATCCTGCTTCCAAGACTTCATCTTATACAACTGCGCATGAGTCGGCAATCAGACCGAGCGCGGGCCCGATACCGCATCGTAGGAACAAGTCTTTACAACTATCTTACCAACCTTCGTGAAACTGGAGCTCGTAAGCGATGTTGATCATTGGGTAGAAGATTAGGGCAAACCATTTTACATGTTTGGCTAGAGATGTCCCACGTATTCCTTAGCTTCTTAAGCTTCTTACAGAAGAAAGCGGCAGGGCGGTTTCGGGAACGACTGTCTCTAGTTTCGTCCATCACCTTGCACAAGCGGTCGAACGGACTCGGGCTCACGGACTGGAGACAAATCCAGGCCTGCAAGATTTTCAAGTATTCATCTAATGCTTCGACCGCGTGTCCTGTGTCCTCCAAGGTGGCGCATTTATTCGCGTGCCGCATTAATCGCGCTTCCACCGCTTTGCGCATCAACTGCGACCTTGAAATCTCTCACAAAGTCCCAAAGCATCTTGCTCTTCCATCCCTTCCGTTTCCATTGGTTAGCTTTGAGGGGAAAGAGTTCTGCGTACCGCTCCACAGCCTTGGAATGGGCATAGATGAACAACACGTTGTCGTCTGCGTCGGCCTCTTGGGTCTTGACGATCGTCCGGACTGTCTCTTCTGCGTCGTAACAAAACTCCGGATTCGGTATGAAGAAGGGCTCGAACTCGGCTCGAGACCGACTTTTGTTGAGTCGCGCGAGCTCCGATCCCGGGCAGATCCAGGGCGAGACTTGATCTGGAAACTCCACGTGGATTTCTTTCGGCAGGCTGAGGTGCCTAGACGGACGGATCTCGCCTCCGTGGTGACAAAGGTCGCCGCCGCAAAAGATAAAGGTGTCCGGATCCGAGGTCGTCCGCACCAAGCCTGCAAGGTGCCCAACCGTGTGGCCCGGCGCGTCGAGGAGATAGAATGAACCATCGCCGAAAAAGTCCATTGCCTTGAACTGCCCGATCTGAAGTGGAGGACCCTCATCGAAGTTGATCTCCCTGGTCTCGCGGCCTCTGTCGAAGTGGAACCGACAATGATTAGCCCAACGTGACCGTGAGAATGCCAGGAAGGGGAGAAACACGAACGCAAAATCACATTCCCGGACAGGAGAATCTTTGATCGTCGGATACCCGGGATAGAATGTCTGCTTGAAACCGGGCCCAACGACAAGCTCTGTCGACCCAGGGAAGGTGGAAGGATCTCCGATGTGATCGAAGTGCCAGTGGCTAAGAGAACGGATCAGGCACAGCCGGACATGCTGGAGGCTCTCCTGGACGCACGAACTCACCTCCAAACAATCGAATTGATCCGAGCAGGATCAATGTGGTTCTCCTTGAGAATGTCCGCTACGTGTTTCTCGGAGCGAATCTCCCACGCCGGGTTTCTCAGTTGGTCCTGGTTAAAGGGCGAGAAGTCGAGAAAGTTGGGTGGCACCCCGAGGTCGAAGAGCGCCTTTTTGCCCGTCGTCGGGCTCTCGATGAGAAAGGACCACGTGGGGATATCTGGCATGTATTGCATGCCTCGGAGAGGTGGATGTAACAAGAAACTTGCCGGCAATCTAATGATCCTTGAAGTGCAGTCGATAATGCGTACGTCTGCCACGGCACCAGATGGCGCGTTGAAGATCTTGCTTACCCCTGACGAGGCCATAACTTTGTTTGCTTAAAAGACAGACTTAGCAAAGCGCGACTTTCCGGATGATCATTCGACGTCCAGGCTGATGGGAGAATCGCAGAGGCTGTAACCTCGTTTTCTACTTGCGAGCCTCCGCAATTTACCGCAGAGAGAGATGTAAGTAGGTAAAGAAGTGGAAACGACAGAGGTCTCTGCTAGCCGGAGGAAAAGAAATAGATTCGAGACTGTGTGGGATACCTCGAGCTGCCCATGCCAGGCCCAAAACCATCTAGCGTCGTTATGTGGGTGGCATACGATCACAAATAAAGGTTCAGAATATTATATCGCCGAGGTCATTAATCGAGCTTCCGGGCCAAGGAATAAGGAGAGTTTTCTGAACGGCCATACAAAGAACCTGTCTCGTTAACTGTCTCCGTCGTCCAGTGTCAGACTTTCCTGAATTCATCCCCATGCATCTCCGAGGCGAGGGAATTCCGCTTCTTCACTCGCTATATCGTCGAGATTGGCTTCGACTCGCCACCGTTGATCTAGTCCCTGTTTCTCAAAACGAGACGGGATTTTCCGTAGCCGTGAGAGTTGCAGTATCTTTTCTACTCGAGCACACAGGAGCAAGAGATTGACTCCGAAAAGATAAAGAAAAAAAAAAAACTAAAAAAACTGGCACATTGATTGCTCTGATGTTGTCACAGACCGTCTACCGCGTGACCTCGCAGACAGGCATTGATGGCCTAGAGTCCTTTCAAGAACCCGTGCCAGCAGCTGGCAAGCATGAAATCCTGGTCAAAGTGCTAAGTGTGGCTTTGAACTTCCGAGACATCGCCATTATCAACGGCACATATCCGGTGGCGGTCAAGCAGAATGTCGTCCCCTGCTCGGACATGGCTGGTGAGGTGGTACAAGTTGGTGAGGGGGTGGTGAGTTTCACCGAGGGTGAATTGGTCACGGCACCCGTGAGCCTCGACACAGTGTATGGACCAGTCAGGGACGGTGCCGGCTCTCTCGGTGGCACAGAGGATGGCGTCCTTCGCCAATACTTGACGCTGCCGGCGAGCTCAGCCATCAGGCTGCCCAAGTCCAACCTGGGGCCCAATGAATGGGCAGCCACGGTGACCACTGGTTATACTGTGTGGAATGCATTCTACGGTTCCACGCCTCTCAGGCCCGGCGACACGGTCCTGGCGTTGGGTAAGCGGATAGGCCACGCAAGTCCAAGAAGGGGCTCTCGGTCCGCTAACATATGTACAATAGGCACAGGAGGCGTCTCCGTCCTCGCCGTTATCATCGCCAAAGCCGCTGGGGCAACGACCATAATAACCTCATCGAGTGACGACAAGTTGGAGCAGGTCAAGAAGCTCTTCCAGGTCGATCACACCATCAATTACAAGACGCACCCAGCATGGGCCGAGGAGGCGAAGACACTTACAAACGGTCACGGCGTGGATCATGTCATCGAAGTAGGCGGCGTCGGGACCATCGAACAAAGTATCGCCGCGGTGACGAACGGAGGCACCGTCTCGGTGATCGGCTTTCTGGCCTCGCTCCCGGACGACAGGATGCCTAACGTGACGCTGCAAATTCTGCTCAAAGGCGCGAAGCTTCGCGGCGTCTTGGGGGGCTCCAAGATGCAACTGGAGGAAGCCATTCGTTTCATTGCGGCGAGAAACTTGCCGGTCCCCGTCGACAAGGTATTCCCATTCACTAAAGAGGGTATCTTGGCGGCCATCAAGTATGTAGAATCCGGTCAGCATATAGGCAAAGTATGCATCAGGATAGACTAGAAGCCCAGATGAAGCGGGATAAAGTTATTTCGATGTTCTCCCCACGGACCGCATCCCAGTTCCACTTCGCCGTAGGCAAGCCATGACAACAACGCCTGTCAATGTCCATTAAATACTCCCTTTCGGAGCTCAGTAGTAATATAAAATTTACTTGTCAGAGATGTTTCCTACCGCACCTGAACGATCGGAAGCGCGGGGCAAAGAAGTTCCGAGGTTCGAGTATTTGGATCTAGCCCGAATAGGAAAGAGCGCGTCGCGGGTCTCGATTTCAATTTCCACGCCAACTGCGTTCAACACCCAGTCGAATTGATCTTGTTACCATCATTCTCTATGATCAGGGATATAGCTTTGAGCCCCTCCTATTCCTTCCGCATGACTCCCAAAATACCTTTCTTGAAGCCAACCTCCGTATATTCCATGCCCATTCGGACAACGTCACAGAGCCAACCTCCAGTCCCAGTCGCTTCTTCCACTACCCTCTCGCCCCCTCGCGGGCACTCTATACAGTTCAATCTCCCCCGAGTTTCCCGATACAACTCGAGCTCTTGGAGCCGGTGTCACCTTTCTTCCAACCGCTCGAGCCTCCTGGCATGGTCTCAAGAGCAGCCGGATTGATTCTGGGTGACAATGTGGATGCGTGTCGGAACGTAACCCTAAGATGTTTGTCGGTTCAAGTGTCGCGGTCCAGTTGTCGTGCCTCTGAGTAGCTACACTTGCACGCCTCCTGCTTACTATTTGCTCCGGCGAAGAATGGCAGGCCGGATTGAGTGCGGTCAAAAGAGAACAGGACGTTCAGAGCTCTCCTGAGAGGGCGGTGAAAGACGGTTTCGCCATGCGTCACGTCGGTAAGAGTCCCTGAGGGACCGCGCGTCGGTATTCCAACGCTGAACATTATACGTGATCATATATGGGATGTTTTGGTGTGCATGGGCGTGAGACAAGGATCAAGAGAGAGCGGAGATGTCGAGTTGTGGGAATTAGCGCATGAGGTCTATGCCCAGAGCACAAAGGTTCTTTGGCCTACACACAAGATTGCTGGGAATTCTTGTTAGATCTGATGAGATCCACTGGCCGGAATCCGGGCTTTATGCTGCCTGGATGCCAGGTCTCGAGGTGACTTCAAGGATTCCGAGTCAGCCTGTCTTTCAACTCGGCACTTTGTTTGTTCCAGATGGGCATGACCTGCGCAAGATGTCCACAACCGACAAACTCAGAATTGCTGCCACTCCTTTCCAACTCTGTTCTTGTTCTCGCCGCGCTTTATCTTGCGTCAGCTCTGTCACCAAGCGCGCATCGAAGCAACCGCTACTTGATGTGTACTTCTGTTGAAGATCCCGATCAACCGCGTTAATCTTCCACATCATGTTCAGCATGGTGAGATGGAGAGCGCCGATTCAGTGGGCCCTTGATTCTCCGGAATCTCTGGGTCCATGATGAACCCCGCTTTCGAGCGAGAAGAGGACGATTTTTGAAGATGTTGTTTGTGCGTCCTGGCCTGAGATACGGCAAATGTCCTTCGATGAGTCTCGTCAAGAGACAGAGAAGAGAAAACTAAAATCTTGTCTTCGAGGTTACTGTATCACATATGAGAGAGGCATTTACCTCCTGTTTTAACAGGGCTTGGATGTTGCGTCTGGGCTGGAGTCTGTGCACCGCGTGAGAAAGAGCGTGGGATAAATCGTGGGCCACAAGATGTACTTGGGGGAATGATGGCGAAGACGTATAGTGAGAGCTCGACTCTGCATCCTGAGAACATAGTCTCTCTGGCTCTCGCACAAAAGCCTTTACCAAGCAACCTGCATCTTGTCGTCAAGTCTCAATTCGCACATGGATCCACGGTCCGATATTGTCGCAACAAGTCTCGGAAGTCTAGCCGACTGGGTTTCAGATGAGTCCTGCAATGCCATCAACGTGTCCAAGCAAGAAAGTCCTGCAGTGTATCGGAAGCATCAGACTTTGGAAGGGAAGGGATCGTTGAGATGAACAGGACTATCGAGTATGCAGACGGGACCTCTCTCGAGTGGGGATCAAAGCTTTGGCTTGTCTGTTCTGAATACTTGCTGTTTTGTCACACGGTTCCAACTTGCTCCTAATCTGAGTGGAGATCTCTGTTTGGCGTCCCGCTGTTGGTGGCCATGATGGATCAATCTTGCTCGGCGACAAGGACGATTTTCGGTGAACTTGACGTGACGGATTACATGTGGGAACTGGTGTACTCGCTTCAACGATCGCAGATTGCATGTCGGTACAGATGCTTATGACGCTTCCAGAGGCGACATTTCCGCTGTCCCTGGATGCTGGCATGGTTCTTGGACAGCGGGACTTGCTTTTTATAAGTCTACCATCTCCTCATTGGCGTCCGAAAGCTAATAAAGAACAGGGAGGACCGCCAGAGCTACTGGCCAGTACGTGGTCTCGACCCGAACGTGATCGTCCGCTGTAAACATACAAAGGTTCTTAAGACCCGTGGAAAACCGCGAAGACCATCAGGCCGAATGTAACAATCATTGTCACAACGACTGCGACAGTGCCGATGGGGACGATTCTCCCTGTCCGGGCGCTGTGCCGTCTCATCGAGAGACTTTTACGCTTAATCATCGAGAATGCTTGTGCTCCAACGCTTGTGGGATCACACAATACCTATCGAGTAACAATTCCTCTGGGGAATACAATAACATGCGGGCTGAGAGCATGCGATGTTGTCGTGTTCCATATTTTTGGCCCCAAATCAAGGATCCGAAGCTCATCTTCCACCAAACGAAACAATGGACTTGCAGTTTCCTGTTCCCAGGGTTCCTGCCTGACGCCGTTGTCTGATCATAGGCTGTAACTCGATTCATTATGCATTTGATGGCCTATTCTGGCAACACAACTAGTGCGAGGGGCATCTCGACATTTGTAGCGGGCTGGCTGAATCGCATTGGAGAAACACCTTCCATTTTGAGCAACGCCTTCCACTCTAGGGTCTGAATATCCCCACTAACCTCACAGGTATACAAACAGATGCGGCTGAAAGCAATCGTCCACTCGGCTTGGAAATAATAATGCCAGATCGAAGCTTGATTTTGATTAGGATGCCAGGGAGTATATTAGTATATAGAGACATGTCTTGGAACTCTCCCACTCGCACCGACTTCCATCTCCTTCTTCCTCAATCACTTCCTTCTATCAACTATGGCTGCACCGCCTGAGGTCAACCTTGCAAGCCTGACAGGGAATTGGGTCCTGGTACGTATACAGCATTTTGGGACTCTGTCCACGGCATGCCTGACCACGTTCAGAACCGTGGCCTCGCCGACGACCCCGATCCAATGCTCGAATTCCAGGGTGTTCCGTGGTTGAAGCGCAAGATCATCCTGCTCGCGACCGTGACCTTGTCCGTCAAGGAGTACATCGACGACAAGGACACCACGCACATCGACCTGGACCAGACCGCCACCGGCGGCATCCAGGGCACCCGTGAACTGCGCATCCTAGACTGGAGCGAGACCATCCACCGAGATCACATTTTCGGCACCCTGAAGAGCCGCAATCGCTGGGTCTCCGACCTGAAGACGTGTGAGAGCGGCACCGGCGGGCCTCTTGACCAGTATCTGACTGAAGGGTGGCTGGACGAGAAAGTTGGTCCAAACGGGGAGGGGTTCGTCCAGAATTGGGTCATCAACGAAGAACGAGGCTGGACTGCCGAGCAGATCTGGGGCTTCACCACGATCAAAGGCCAGCGATATAAGACGAGGAAGATCGTCGTCAAGAAGGGGGATCAGCGATTGACTGTGACCTTGGCGTATGATTGGAAGGGAAAGCTCAAGGCTTAAGCTGGGGAATTTTCTGCCAGGAGGTGTTGGAGGATTGTGGGCTTTTTATGTGCCATCTCGCTGTTGTCTTTTGTTATGTGTGGGCATGTATCTCAGCACGATATCTTGTGAGGATATCCAGGCCCTGCCAGCCATCGGCTATAGCTGCCGACCTCGCATGGGCTGCCGTGGATGAAGCAAATATCGCTTAATGGAGCAAATATAACCAGCGAGTCGGTAACACTAGACTTGTCCCATGTCTCTCTTTTTTTTTTTGTCTTTTTCTTTTCTTGCTCAAAATGAAAACGGAGCAATGTCTTCAAGGTGGGGAATCCACTAGATAATTGATCGATCGATATGGACTGGACTGGACTCTCTGCCAGATTGATTGATACCCAGTGGATCTCGCAACCCGAGCTGTGGGTGGCACCGAGCAGGATTTCTTCAGCGGCGCTGGCGATATATAGAATCAAGAGAAGAAGGGAGGGCAAAAAAACAAAAAAGGCTAAAGGAGAAGAAAAGGGGACCAGAATATGAATATGTGCTCAATGTCTCAGTCAGTCCCTCAGTCGTCACTCAGGTCTTGCTCATGGCTTGGGCTTGGACTTGGCTGGGCCCCGTTTCTTTTCTTCTCCATTGCATTAGTGCATTCACGAGGAAGAGAGGGAGGGAGGAGGCAACGGGAATGTTTTGGTTGCTCGGAATAAAAACGCCAGGCTTGAAATCTTTTGGGCAGATCGTTTTTCGATTTGTCAACGAGTACCACATTACATTGCATTGCATTACCTTGGATTCTGTAGCTGCGATTGGGGAATGGGGTTTGGAGCATCTGCCATCAATTCCAAAGGTGGGAATGTCTGCGGAAGGAGACCTCCAGAATATTGCTGTGCGCATATAACACATGAATTCCACAATCGGATACTCTACTGTCCGGGCTCCTTGAGAGAGGGGAGAAAAGAATAATTATTTCTGATCCGCCTTGAGTGGTTCTGCGTGTCTGGGCCATTTCATGACGGTGGTATGTGAGCCAAAGTCACCATATCTAACCTGAAATATTCGCCATGGTATGCCATGCCACTCCTCCATGAACTTCATTTGCTCACTGTCCTCGTTGGCCGGCAACTCAGCCACAGCAACCGGTAGTATCAGCTGGTTCGGGCTTTTTACTGTTTGGCGAACTGGTAGTTAGTCTCGATCCTGGAGCACAGACCCTTCAACGCTTACTTGGCTTCGTTCATCAGTTGGTCCCAGCTGAAAATAAAAGCGCCGAGGAAGGCTCCAATAATAATGCAGATGATAATGTAGCCTTCTCACGGTCAGTTCTAACTTCATCATCGTCGCACGGGCACAACTTACCATTGTAGTACATGGCCAGCAACATGATAAAGTATGCGACACCAAATTGGACCATATGGATCAGAGACCGGATCACCTGGCGCTGCAGGAGCGTCAACCAGGGGACTCGCGGCCGTTGGTACACCGTCCGATCCACCAGCTGCGAGCTGGGTGAGGGTTGTTTCCCATTTCCAGCCTCGTGGTTCGAGGATGAACTATCTTCGGTGTGAGATCGAGTGGCTGCCGCGGCAGAAAGGAGCTTGCGGTCGCGCTTTGCAATCCAGGCATCATACTCGCGTCCGAGTCTGCGAAGAAACTCGAGGGAGATGACCAGGCAGATGACGCCGATGCAGGAGCCTGCAAACATGCCCCCGGAGGTGATTTGCCAGTCCTGAGAGATGAAGCCTGCGCCATCGTGTTAGCCATTGAAAACCCGCAAAGCCCGTGTTACTGACAAGCTCCCACAATGTACCAGTTCCATGTCATGGAGATTTTGCACGAGTTGGCACCCATGTCCATCCCTCCCATATCATGGGCGGAGGTAGTCGCGGCGGCCGCAGAGGCTGTCATGGTGCCTGTGCTGGCCATTGACATTGACATTGTTCCCATATCCATGTTTGAATTGGCGAGACAATGATGAGGTAGAGAAACTTGACAAGAGACGTGAGAGTGTGGAAAGTGTGAGATTGTTTTCACTCCAACCGTTGGCGGCAGAGAGTGCGGCTTTAACAATAATCCTCGTGAACAGAACAACAATCCATGAGATCTTGTTTGATACTCATCCAGCAAAACTTTTTAGGAGCGGGACGATCATCCCACCTTTAGCAGTACCACGCGAGACTGGTCCAGAAAGAGACCCTGTTTTTGAGCAAGTTTCTGATAGCGTGGCGTGGATGGCCGTGTCTGGGCAGCTGGCGAGAGATTCTGTGATTGGATACATGGCCGAGAACCCTCACATCTGCATACCTCCTCGTCGGTAGACACAAGCGACAGAGACCCCAAATACTTGCTCTCATTCCACCCTTGACGCTGTGTTGCCTCATTCTTCCGACCGAATATGCCCGTAGACATGTTGTACCTCTGCCGAACCCCAAGGCTCTGGGTGAAGCTTATCGCGAGGTCCATATCCCGTCCTGATGGTGCAGATTTCCAGGCCAGAGTCGGGAGGTTTCAGCCTGCAATCCACGCTGCCCTAGAAGAGTCTACGGTTCGAAGTAGTACTTCTCGCACCCCCGTTGCACAGATTTGTTGTATTTTCTCGCATTATTTTGCGATTTGCACTTCCGATTGAGCGGTGTCGTTGGATAGTCGGGAGGTATGGAGCTTTGTCCTGCGCTAGGCTGATTATGGCACTGCCAAGGTTTTCCAGGGGAAGGAGCACGTTATTAAGCCTCTATCAAGAAGGTTAGACGGATCTGTCCCTATTCCTCAAGTAGTTAGTGTCAATCAATCCGACTCTTCAGTCACGCCAGGACGTCCAAAGACTTTGCCCTTCACACCAGTGATCTCAAATCCTCTGTCATCAGCAAATCCAGGAATGGGCCACCAATATGGGGCCCCTACCGCTGCAGCAGAATCCGAAGGGCGGGATGCCAAGCAACAAGACTTGGAGCGATCGCTGCCCACCAGCCAGTGGAAGTGGGTTGAGCAAGTTTCGCAATCGCCAGTCATAGACAGCTTGACCCGTGGTAACGAGGGCAAGACTTTTCCCCTTTGCAGCGTGCCCTTCTCCGCGGGTCTGGCCGACCCCAATACTGGCATCCCTTTCGAATCTCCCCAATGTTCATTGGCTCTTGAGGTGAGAGTCTCTGGGTCCTCGCTCATCTCGACACAAAGGCCCGATGTATGTTATCGTTCAGTCAATCAAATTCCCAGGTATAAAGTCCTTCTATGTGACCATGAGTAAGTGTCAAAGAAAGTTCCGCAACGTTTGTGCTCCTCAAAGTCAGGATGAAGGTCCCCTCTCGCCTGGTGGCCCTGCTGTTCACCAGCACTTCTTTTCTTACTGCACAATGCATGACATCCTCAGGTCGTGCTGGACATGGTCTCATTGGCTATGGCATCAATATGTACTTTCCTTACTGTTGCACGTCGTGCCGCAATGTGTTGTCTGGGAGCCGGCTCAATTGCTCCGAAGTCATGGAGATGGACGACATGGGCGGAATGGACATGGGCGGTGGCGGCGACTTCATGACCATGCCCGAGTGCTATGCCACTGACGATGCCTTCCTTCAGTCGCTGGCCCTTTGCATTCACCAGCGCTGTCCCAACGACCCCAATGAATATAACCTCAAGGACTGGCAAATTGAAAAATGGTGGGCAATGAACGTTGTTGGCAGTGCTGCTGTCCAGCCAGACCCAAAGGAGTCGTATGCAGAGGCATTGGCCAAGGTGACCACTCTGCCAACGGAAACCCTAGTGGCTGGTGATGCCCTGAATCGAACAATGTTGGTGTCTATCGAAGACTATCAACCAAACTGGAACGCCAATACGATATTCGAGCACATCGAGATCCTGCACGAGCGTTACGGGTGAGTTTGCATATTAATAATCTCTTTCTGCTTACAACCTCTCTCTGACACCGAGTACAGACTAGTGGTCTTCCTTTCTGGAGTCGTTATTCCCGTCGGCTTCTCACTCCTTCGTTTTCTCCCTTTCCCAGGACGTTGGGTTACCCTCTTCAACGCTTGGATAATCGACCCTCCTGCTATCGGCCGACATCACAAAGTGCCCATATTGTGGGGACTGACCAATATGCCAACTCGAGGACAGGCCTTGTTCATCGCGTACCTGACGATTGTCAATCTTCTTCTCTGCGCCACCGGGTACTCTTCCAGACAACCAAATGGCTGGTGGCTCAACGATCGAGACCGCGAGATCCTGACCTATGTGACTAACCGAACCGGTGTGCTCAGTTTCGCCAACATTCCCCTCCTCATCCTATACGCAGGCCGAAACAACGTCCTGCTGTGGTTGACCAACTGGAGCCACGATACCTTCATGTTATTGCACCGCTATGTCGCAGGCATCGCCACTCTCCAGGCTATTGTGCACTCTCTCATCTACCTTTACATCTACAATGTGGATGGCGAGCACTCCAGCGAAAGTAAACTTCCATACTGGTACTGGGGAGCCATTGCCACCATAGGCATGTCGATTTTGCTTCCGATGTCGATCCTGCCGCTCCGTCGGATGCTATACGAGGCTTTCCTCTTATGGCACATTGCCGTCTCCGTCCTGGTTGTCGTGGGATGCTACCTGCACATCTATGATCGGTTCGGTCATCAATGGGGCTACGAAGTTTGGATCTACGTTGCAATTGCTGTCTGGGTATTCGATCGTCTCCTCCGGGTCGGCCGGTTTGTTCGTGCTGGTCTTCGTTACGCAAAGGTCACCATTATCGACGATGACTATGTCCGCGTCGACATTGAAGGTGTGGGCGGCAACGGCCATGCTTACCTTTACTTCCCCACGCTGACTTGGCGGGTGTGGGAGAACCATCCGTTCTCAGTCGCATCGACCATCCTCAACACCTCCCGCGAGGCATCCGCGTCGAAGGCGAATGTGAAACCCTTGATGGCCGATGTTGAGAAGGATGGCGGCATCTCGACGGCCGGCGTCGCCTTCAGCTCCGATGACTCTAGTAACGGAGAACTTGACGAGCATCAGCCCCAACCGCCCAAATTGGCCATGACTTTTCTCCTCCGCACCCGCGGCGGTCTCACCTCGAGCCTGCGCTCACAATGCCGAATTCCAGTGCTCGTCGAGCCCGGGTACGGACACCCCTCCGATCTCTCAGACTATCCAACGCTGATCTGCGTCGCCGGCGGCGTCGGGATCACCACTGTCCTACCACTCTTGCGCAGCCACCCAGGCCGGACCAAGCTTCTGTGGGGCATGCGCACTCCGTCGCTCGCCGAGGCTATGGAGACCCAGTTGGCAGGAGTTGAGAAACAAGTCTTTGTCGGCAAGCGCATGAACGTCCGCAATGAACTCGAGCGAGAGCTGGGCGCTTCTCCCGTCGTGGGCAACGATTGCGCCGTCGCCGTCGTCGTGAGCGGTCCGGACGGCATGGCAGACGACGTGAGGAACGCGGTGTGCGAGATTGCAAGGAGAAAGAAGGGTCTCAAGGTCAAGCTGGTCGAGGACTCCTTTTCGTGGTAGTGGTGGGAAAAGGTAGTTCTTTAGTTCTTCTCCGAGTCCGTTCAGAGGACTGACTCCCCGAGACATGGGGACGGCGGAAGAATGCCGATGCTTCATGTACACACGTACCCCATGTTCCTTCCTTCCTTCGCTCCTCTGTTCCTTTCTCCGACATCACTATCTGTCTCTCGTCGACGAAGACGAAATAGATCCTCTGTCCGCTACCTACTAAGATATCATTCATGGCTCCCTCCCTCTCTGGGCACTCGCAATTAATCCTCCATTTGTCAAAGGCAGCACAGTGCATGATGAGATAGAATATTTTGTGAGGCGACAGCGAGACTTGGAGGAAGATTCTAACGTGATGACGCGGTTCAAAATGAATGTATGCTCAAAGAACGCAAAGTTCGGGATATCTCTACATGTATACATGGGATGGTTAGGGTGTGTCCGTTCTACCTCACGTCCACTGTCTTATCCATCTATCGAGACAAATTGCTACATCACCCTGAGAACCCGATGTTGTATTGGAGCACAACCAACTCCATCCCCCAACCACTGTTAATTGCATACACAGTTGAAGGACCAAGTGAGATAGATTATCTATCCACCTCATGGTGAAGATTATCCCACTCCCTTCATTACTCTCTCCCATGCCTGGTCAGGGCCTCGCCTTACACAGGAGCGCACGGATCCGAGCAGACTTGATCTCGTTGGAAGGCCTCAGGCTCATCTGGAACACTGGCTTGCAGAGGGCCGCCTTTGCCACTCTACCCTTTGCTGTTGGGGTCGCACCACGCTTGTTGACGCCGGCGGACCTTGTTGACCTTGCAAGATCGGATAGAGGCGGCAGTTTGTTTCCCCTGTTGCCTCTGCGGATGCTGGTCGCAGGATATCGTGGCTCGGCCTTGCCAATGACACTCCCAGCCGGTGTGTGCGAGGGGGATGCCTTTGGGTCCAGCCTCTTCGATGATGACCGCCAGTTGTCCAACGCCGCTGTCAACTCCTCGGCCTCACTCTCGGTGTCGTCCGACAGGCACCCTTCCACTCCCCCTACTGTAGACATGTAGTGCCAGCCCTGGACAGCTTGTAGATGTGCACCCTTAGTGCGCATCTGTTGCAAGGCCAAGGCCGCATTGTGCTCCTGCCGCGCCCGGATCCAGAAGTCGCAAAGCGACAGTACAGCTGCTTCCTCTTCTGCAGTCCTTGGCGTAGACCGGGGCCTGTCCGCACTGCAAGCGTTGTTGTTCCTCGTAGTGGCGGCCATTGTTGAGACTGATGAGGAACAGAGGTGTGTAATAGAGGAATAGAAGGCGATGTGGCGTGCAGATCAAAGAGGGTCGTCGAGTTTCGGTCTTGGGAAGATGTTGAGGAGGCCTCCAAAGGTAAACAGTACACTTTTGTTGTAGACCTAGCTAGATGTTCGCTGGGCAGTCGCCATTTGATATATTCGAATATGTTCGGGTAGGTCCTCAGAGACTAGATTAACGTTTAGCGAGGATTGCCTCCCAGAGACTGACGACTGGGTATGTAGGTCCTCAAACCATCGAAAGGGCTGAGGACTTACTTTTGAGGCAGGACCTTTCCTTCCTTGCACCTGAAAGTCCTCATACCTCCAGCATATAGGCAGACCATATACCACACTCTGTTGTAAGATGTAGCACTCTACACATCGTCCTCCTTTCAGCCAAGTTCAAGTGAAGGTCTAAAATATCTCGCTTCTCCTTCCCGACGGATCCCCAACAAACACAAACAACCTCATCAACCATGGCGAGCTTCCCACCCACAGTAACAATTACAGCACAATCATTGGACAACAGCTCAGCAGCATCCGACAATGTCAACCACACTCGTCTGTCGCTTGAAGCGTGGATGTCCCTCTTCACCACTGCCGGTCATCACAGCTTCCTCCACAAGCTGTATAACCAGGAGGCGAGGTCATGGTATTACATCCTCCACTATCAGGGTGACCTCCCTCTCTCGGCCCTTTCGGAGGAAGGGCGACATTTGTTGGTGATGATTCGGTCCGAGAGACTAGTTGTCGAAAAGAGGGTGGGGCAAGGAGAGCGCCTCGCAGAAATGCGGCTTGAGATCTGGCCAACGAGCGCGAAAAGCATGACGAGCTGCCACTACCGTTGTTTATGGCGGGTACCCGTCGCTGTCCTCAAGTCACTGGAGGAGGTAGCTGAGAGTGATAGCCCGAAGGACTCTGGGTACAAATCAGACGCTACCCTTGACAGTGCAAGGGAGAACCTCACGCAGGAGGTGAAGGAGAATCGGCAGTGGAAAGGGAAGAGGCCGGAAGCGTGGTCGATGCAGGAGAGGTGGAACAGGCGGGAACTCGCGCAGGAAGGGGAACAAGGCCGTGGCGAAGATGAGCTTCGAGGGTTGGCAAAGGGAGACCCCGTTGGCAACGCAGGCGTGTCGTATCTGATGCGCACCCTCCCTAGTTCCTTCCACGCTATCCTCTGGAACCGCCCTTCGGTGACAGGTGCATCCTACTCCAGGTGCACGAAAAGCACGCCAGAATGCCACATACAGTTGGGGCTCGAGCGAGACGCTGCAATGGCCGCGGGGACAACAGGAGCATGGCGAAATTTTGGGAAGCTGGGCGGGTTAGAGGCGGGTGTCATGAGCATCAGACGCGAACTGCAGGTACTGCAGATGCTGGAAGATGTGGTGGTGCGGCGGCCGTTTCAACACAACAACCTGGAGGAGACACTGTGGAGCTATGCGCAACAGATGTGACGGGAGGTCTGCAGAGAATGAATCCGGCACTCCACCTCTCCTTTCCATCCACAGCCTTGCAGTTCTCGGGATCCAATCACAGCTTGACTTGGCAGCCCGCCACTAACCCAATACGGTACATTTAGACTCGACCACCGAACAAGGTAATCAGGCCTTGATGCTTCCACGGAAGATGTATGGATCAAAGGATCGAGAACAAAGCTATTTATGCCGTCGCTCTCAAAGGTCCTCGCAAAAGAAAGAAAAAACTTCAGTCTGAAATGTATTGGAGAGACTCCACTGTCAAGGTCTCATTCATCATTCGGCACAATGGCCAACAAAGGTCACGCCAGATGGAACCAAAACAATGAGAATAGGTCCGGGTACATGTCTATGAGCGTGGTCAGGTCTGTGCTCAGACCAAACATGTCCTCTCTAGGCTGGGAGTGAGTGAACTACGAGGACCTGTCTTGAAGAATATAAACCGGATACCGGCCAGCTCGAAGTGCTCAGCAGCTGTCATTGTCCTGCACGTACACCACTCCCACAGACATATAGTACAACTTCCCTTTGACATACAGTCCTTTCACAGGCACAACCTTGCTTGTTACATCATTGTGTCAACAGCGCACCCTCTCCCCCCTCACCACTCACCGCCATCACCTCACAATGGCTCCTCGACGATCGACTTCAGGCAAGAAGGCCAAGCGGCCGGCCGCAAGAAAGCCATCGGCACCCCCTGCACAAGCATACCAAAGCCTAGAATACTCGCAACACATCAAGCCGCTGGACAGTTCCGAGGTCGACCTCGATCTCGAGGCCATAAAGTTTGGGCACGTGCCAGGGAGCACACGCGGGCGAATAGAAGAGCCTGCCGATGACAGGCTGGCGGCGACGGTGGAGAATATCGCGCATCGCAGACGCGTGGTATTGAAGGCGGTCCAGCAGGAGAGAAGTGGTTGGAGAGTTGTGGACAAGGACACGCAGCCAGAGACACGCAGGTCAACTCCGGAGGCCATCTCCGACCTCAAGCAAAGTGTCCCAGTCCCGACGTCCTTTCCGGAGTCAAACATAAGGCCAGCGGTCGACGACGCGGAACCAACGGCATCGGACAGGGCGAACCAGTCTGGCCAGAAGCAAGTTGAGGGTGGTTTCCCGGAACGCACCGGGGCAGTCCGTGAGGGTGAGACCTCCGCCCTCTTGCAGGCGGTTGATTTCGAGGGAAGCCCCGTCAGCAAATGCCCCGTTCTCGAGGCTCTTGGCATCGGAGAGGAACAGGCGTCGCAAAGACTTCCCTATCCTCTCAACAACAAAGAGTTCTTGCAACTCTATGTTGCGCCGTTGTCTGAGCTGGAGATGCGCTGTGGTGAAAGACACCTGGCACAAGAGCCTACCTTGGAGCAAGGCAAGGCAAGGCTCCTTGACCGACTCGACCGCTGTGAGGAGATTGCTGCCAGGATGGTCGCCATCGTTGACGCTGTAGACAGGCAATGGGAGGGGTCGCTTCCTGTCGAGGAGGCAGACAGTAGGGGTTTCTTCCGATGCAGAAAGGCATATCGACAGCTGGAGGAAGCTGTTGAGACCGAGGCGCCCAGGCATAGCAATTGCCCCTACTGGACATATACCAGCAGACTGGCGCTGATGCGGGCGGAGAAACGGGTCGAGGAGCAGATGTGGAAGACGCCGATGTTGGTGGAAAACATCCCACGGCCAGCCAACGACCAATGACACCGGAAACATCGACCAACACCCCCACTGCTAGCGGCAGTCCGCGAAGCCCAAAGGGACATTCTTCTGAAGTCAAGCCGGTGGTGAGCACCAGAGGTTGTGGAGAAAAAAAATAGGGAAATCCCAGTTGGAATACCGGTGGCTTTGGAGGAGAGGACTCGACATAGAGAGCTCCGAGGACAAGTCACCACAGATTTGAATCAAGAGATATGTATTGTTGATGTTTGTACATAGATAAGGAGGTCTCTCTCTCTCTCTCTCTCTCTGTGCATGAGCGGCGACACCAGGCTCAAGTTGGATAGATATAGATCGACTCCTGTTGACACACGGCTGTAAGATCATCGATGATATTGCGATTTCCGCCACCAGGGCATAATGTCTTAGATTCCCAATCGCTGCATGGGAGAGTATGACTGTTCTCACAGTTTAGTCAAGACTTTTGTTAGGACATCGGATATCAGCCGAATTTTTCACAAGCCTTGAGTGTTGATCTTGAGCAGCGTCGCCTGCTACCGCTCTATATGCATCAACACTTCCAGACTCCAACTTCTCCATTTCTCCTTCCCTCGATCAGGTAGCCATCTTTCAGCCTGACGCGATCCACAATACTCGTCTTAGTGCCAGCCATTCGATCCTCAACGCTCGTGTTGGCACCAACACCGCAATCCCAATGACGGCCATCAGCCTTGTCATAGACTTTGACAACGTCCTCGCCGGCGGCGCAGACAATGTGTCGGGAATCGAACATCATACTGGTGATCGGCGAGTCGTAGGCATACGCGTCAAAAATCGTCCCTGTGCGGAGGTCCCATATCTGTTGCGCATGTCAGTCTTTTCCGCTGGCCATTTGCAGAAATGTTGCAAACTTACTCTGATACTCCTGTCAGTGCTACCTGTAACAAGATGAGTATCGTCGAACTGCAGGCATGTCACTGGTCCTGTATGGCCCACAAGACTCCTATGGACTTGTCCGCTTCTGAGATCCCAGAGTCGGACCATTCCATCGGCTGTACCGCAGGCTAGCGCTGCGTCAAAACATTGTAGAGCCCCAACAAAGTCGGCATTCGAATCTGCAGATCTTCCAGTTGGCCGCCATTGTGTTTCTGTGCTATCTACTGTCGAGTTCGCCTGAGCTGCGGCCCACAAGACATCAAGCGTCTGGACACACCGGCCTTTCACCAAATCCCACTGCCGCAGCGTCTTATCGGCTGATCCCGAGACCAGCATGTCACCGCGAAGGTGCAATGCAGTGATTTCATCGACGTGAGCCTCAAGCACGAAAAGCGGACACTCTTCCATCGCATCAGGAGGTGGTGGAGGGGGCGCGTCTTCACCTTCATTGCCAAAGCCAAGGCCGTCATCTTCATCGGCCTTGTCGTCGTCGCCGTTTTCGAGTATTTTGTGTTCATAGGGTTCGTATTTGGCACGACTCAGATCCCACAGACGGATCGTGGCATCAAGACTGCCCGTTGCCACAATGTTGTCTTCGACCTGTAAACAGCGAACGGACGCGGTGTGGCCTTCCAGAAAGCCCATGCAGCGGCCAAGATTCAGGTCCCAAACGCGCACCGTATCGTCCTGTGCTGCAGTGACCATGGTTCCGAATGGCTGGTCAAAGTCTATAGCAGATATCGAGTCATTATGAGCGGGAATGGTTTTGATTTGTGAGCCGGGTTCCAGGTGCTCGTGTAGAACCGGCATGGATCTTCTCTTAGAATATTTGGGCCGGCGCTTTGACTTCGGTGACGAGGAGGAGGGCAATTTGTCGTAGATGGATTGGGACATGAAGGAGGCATCCATGGCTTCAGACTCGGGGGTATCTACGCGAGGAGCGTTGAGGGTGCTAGTAGACTGGTCCATGGCCCCTTGCTCCTCGAGTTCCTCTTGCATTTCTTCGATTTTGTTGTCAAGTTCAAGCAGCTCATGCTCAACCTCGGCTTCGTCATTTTCAAGGTCGGCCAATCTCTCGAGAGCGAGCTTCCGCATATTGATCAGATTGCCAATTTTGTTGTCAATGTCTCGAATCTCTGTAGTGCACATGTTTTTGCGTATTGCCATCATCTCCAACCTGTGGTTGACACTGTTCCTCTTCTTCTTGAGGTGGTGTATTGACGGAGGGCCATCCTCTTCAACATCTCCAGCACCCAAAAGCCTGTGTTGCTTGGAGCTCCGCCGTCGGTGTCCTTTTCGATGTTCGGATTCGCCTTCAGGTAGAGATGCTTGAAACCCTTGAAATAAGGAGTAGGTATTTTCGGCTTCGGGAATATTTTGCAGTTGTTCTTCGGAGATGTAGGTAAGAGCACGATGCGCAATTTCGCTGGTCGACAGTTTCGCTCTGACGAGCTCAGAAGGCGCCTGCTGGGAAAAGGAGAATACAGCTCTCTGAATGCCGGGGCGTCGCATCTGGCGGGAGATGCTGTTCATCGCCGCCGGGTAGTGCGCGGCATTATTGTCTCCCATCAGGTGGCTTGCGGTCGCTGTGACCTTCCGACTGAAGGCCTCCAGCTGGCGCGTCTTTCGCCAGAAAGTCAGTCTATTATCACCATGATAGTATGGATCTCTCACGTCAAGGACCGTGCTGAGAACTGAATCGTCTCCATCTCCAGCTGGCCTGCGAGTTTGGGAGGGAGTACGACTGTGCGGCCGCGATCCGGCCATGCAGTTCGATCGCCTTGGGCGTCACTAAAATTACACAGATCGAAGCTGGACAAAAGAGAGGTGAAATGCAGCGAGGCACACTGAAGCCTGAGGCTCTGCAAGACTATGGTGCAAAATGCGGAGTGAAGATCGTATAGTTGGTTGTTAGGTGCGTCTTGGGTTTCGGGGACGCGAAGTCGGAGCTGCGAAACTCTGACGTATTTTTTTCCCAGAGTAAAACCGAACGGACGTTCCTTCGCCCACTTCGGATATCATCGCATATTGCTTTGGATTCCATCTGCTTACTTGCTTACCTGCTGACCGGGGAAATACCTCCTCTTTGATCCTCTTAAATACCCTGCCAGGTTCTCTTCCAATTTTCTGTTTCCTGTAGCGTCTCCCATAGTGGTTTCGGCAGTATATTGCGCGGAACCCGAACATAACCCGCACGCGATCTCAACATATGCCGCTTTTGGATATGGATACAGCGATAGACCTGTCGGATGCCTCGAAGGCTTTGGATTTGGCCAATATACGCTTTCAGTTAATGTTCGTGCCTGAATACCCAGCCTACAGAGACAAAGTCACACTAACTAAAGTTCAGCCGACTCGAGGATACCATCACATTTCACCTGATCGAGCGAGTTCAGTTTCCC